CAAATGCGACCTTTTTTTTGCGCACCTGGACATTTGCGCACCTTTTTTTGCTGGAAAAGGCCTTAGGAAAAGTCGTAGAGCTTCAAAAACGTTTTCATGGAAGGGAATCGTATGCGTAGATTCAGAATTTTGACAAATCAGACCTCGCTGACACGTCAAATTTGGGCTAAAATGCAAAAACTACGCAACTTAACGCTTTTCCGCAGTTTTTGCCTTTTAGCCCAAATTTGACGTGTCAGCGAGGTCTGATTTGTTGAAATTCGGAATCTACGCATACGATTCCCTTCTACGAAAACATTTTGGAAGCTCTACGACCTTTCCTAAGGCCTTTTCCAGCAAAAAAAGGTGCGCAAATGTCCAGGTGCGCAAAAAAAAGGTCGCATTTGTCCCGGCCCCTCAATCTTGCGAATCCATTACAGAAATTGGTCATAATTTTTTGGCAAAAATTTATTTTTGGCAAAGTGTTGAAATGAATTTCATAACGAAAATAAATTAAAAAGAATTTCAAAATGAAAAATTTAGTGATTGAAGTTGAAATTGAAGTTGTTTTTATTTTTCTTTTCATTGATTATTGGTCAAACAGCTTGCGGGGCTTGGAAGTGGACCAACGGGAAGCACTCCGAGAGAGATTAACTGGAAATAAATTCGGAATCGAAAACAAAATATAAATCAACTGTAATAGATGAACAACTAGGGAAGTATTAGTACCACAGGTCAGTACCACAGGTCAGTACCACAGGTCAGTACCACAGGTCAGTACCACAGGTCAGTACCACAGGTCAGTACCACAGGTCAGTACCACAGGTCAGTACCACAGGTCAGTACCACAGGTCAGTATCACAGGTCAGTACCACAGATCAGTACCACAGGTCAGTACCACAGGTCAGTACCACAGGTCAGTACCACAGGTCAGTATCACAGGTCAGTACCACAGGTCAGTACCACAGGTCAGTACCACAGGTCAGTACCACAGGTCACTGTGGTCACTGAAGTACCACAGGTCACTGTGGGAGTTCGAAACGAGTCTAGCTCATCAATAGAAAGTCGAATGATTGTAAGTTGAGTTTGTAATCGAAACTTGTAACTCGGAATAACTCGAAATCTGAAATAGCTCAAACTCTGCTCTTTTCTGGCTCCTTTCTAGTGAAGCCTGATTTCTGGGATGAAAATTTTTGGACTTTGATCGAGTTTATGCAATAACTTCAAGTCAGTTTTCAGTTCAAGCTTTGTTTAGTCATTTGGAAGATTTTCATTAAAGATTTCCATTCGATTTCTACTAGATGAGCTGTTTCTGATTTCAAAATTTTACAGTAATCTTTTATAATATTGGTTTTCTTAGCCACTTTTCTTGCCCATACCCTTTTCATCATTCGATCAACCTCTTTAAAGTGATTGACAAGAAAAGTGGCTGGTTGTTTTGCCCATATTTGAAGAGTTCTGAAAATGAGTTGTAAATCTTGTAAAGTTTTAATTTGTCATTAGAATTGCTTCATAACTTTCGTAAGAATTTATTTTTCTAAACAATAACTTGCACTTGTTTCCCCCATTGCTGTTGGTGGCAATGAAAAACTCGTGATTCTCCTGCATGTATAAAAGGCAAACTAAAGGCAAATTAAAGTTTTTACATACCGTAAATACTGCAATAGTATCGCACCCCCATAATGACGGTGCGGAGTGTTGCGTAGTCTAGCTTTGGACGCGTTTTTCTCGACACTGGTTTATGCTACAATGCGCGCTTAGGTATCAAAAAATAGCCCTGAATTTCAGCTATTTTTTGATACCAAAGACGCTTTTTTTGAAAGTACGAGCCCTTTGCAAAAAATGAAATACTAAAAAACTTTTGCGACTACGCGACTGTACGAGGGGGGTGGATGAGTAGTGGATCATTTATAGTCACAGTTACAGCCAGTCATTTACATACCGTAAATACTGTAATAATACCACCCCCCCCCCTGGTACAGTCGCGTAGTCGCAAAAGTTTTTTAGTATTTCATTTTTTTCAAAGCGCCCGTACTTTCAAAAAATGTGTCTTTGGTATCAAAAAATAGCCCTGAATTTCAGGGCTATTTTTTGATACCTAAGCGCGCATTGTAGCATAAACCAGTGTCGAGAAAAACTCGTTCAAAGCTAGACTACACAACGCTCCGCACCGTCATTATGCGGATGGGGTACTATTACAGTATTTACGGTATGTAATGTACATATCATTATATTCTATAAATGTAGTTGAAGTTGGAGGATCTGTTATCGATTGCTTTATTTAGAAAACTTTTACAATAATCAGATAAAAGCTTTCATTAGTTCAATGAATTTATGTTTTAACTTTGAAAATGAAATAAGCTTGATCAATTGAGATAAGCATATTCAGATGTTAATCAGATGAGCTTTAATTTTGACTAAAGCTTTAGCCTTTAAACTTTAGCCTTAAGCTTAAGCCTTAAGCTTTAGCCTTAAGAGAGGCTTTAGCCTTTATTGGATGCGCGCTTAGGTATCAAAAAATAGCTGAAATTCAGGGCTATTTTTTGTTATCTTAGAGCGCATTGTAGCATAAACCAGTGTCGAGAAACACTCGTCCAAAGTTAGACTACGCAACACTCCGCACCGTCATTATGGAGGGTGGGGTCCAATTACAGTATTTACGGTAAATATTTATGTCTTTAAGGTTAAAAACAAGATTCTATACTCACATTTTGTTTCATATTCTTTAGAAGTAAACTTCAATTGAGCGTTTCTCTCTTGCTTGAGGTCACCGAGAAGCAAAAACGATCTTTGAATTGATTGGTTTCAAGAAAACTCACCAAAATCTCATGATCATTCAGCTTATATATGATTTCTGTGCCAATATTAACTTAAACTTTTATGATTTTTACACAAAAGCTTGTAAACTTTTCATTCCAATACACTTCAAATCGAGATTTTTCGTGGATCCGTTCAATGAGAGAAGCGATTTAACCGTGTTTTTTACCTCATTTGGATATCCAAACATCTAAATAGAAATAAATTTAAGTTCTAGATTAATAATGCCAAGTTTTCTAGTCAAAAGGAAACTCCAGAATTTTCAACCATTGTCCAGTTTCCAGTGAGAGCTTCCGGATTAATTGGTTTGCAAAAAGCGCACTCCTTTGCATCACTCGAGTCTCGGGACTTTTCTCTCCTAAAACTCGTGAAATTTTATAATTTTAGTTACAATATTCATATTAGGACTGAAATCTAATTTTAGCTTACAATATTATTACCCAATATTTGCCGGAATTCTCTCGAGAATGACTCTCGTCCCTTGATCGATCGCCAATTGTCGTTCTTCTCTCATCACGGAACGAATTGCTTTCAAAATTCTCAAATCTTCATCACTTGGATCATTGACATTGATTCGAAATCTATATCTGCAAATTATCAAAACATTATGTTTGCTTAACTTTTTAATAAGATCAAATCGAGTTCATCATGGCCGTTGATAGGTTTTTGAGAGCCTAAAATGAAGAAAAGGGTATAACAGATCTTATATTATAGTAAAACATTGAATATGATGCAAAATTGATACAATATTGACACAACATTGACGCAATATTGTCAGTATTGATAGTAAATTTACATTTTTGACAATAAACTTTAGCTGTACCTGTTATTGGTGCTTCTGGATCTTTCTTGTAGGCATCTATGGGTTCAGTGAGAACCTGGAAATGGCGCTTGGGGAATCAAAATGAATTGGGAATGATACCTTGCACTTTTTGCAAAAAATCGAGAACGAATTCAGTGAATACCTGTCCTCCAACCGTGTTATCGATACCCTTCTCATCATGCAATTTGTTCTCAAGATCATAAGAGAGTCGCAAATTTTTCACATATTCCACATATTGTTCTCGGCGAATGTTATCCTAAATTGGTTTATATTTGGAAAAACCCAACGTTTTTCTCGACACTGGTTTATGCTACAATGCGGGCTTAGGTATCAAAAAATAGCTGAAATTCAGGGCTATTTTTTGATACCAAAGATAATGACGGTGCGGAGTGTTGCGTAGTCTAGCTTTGAACGAGTTTTTCTTGACACTGGTTTATGCTACAATGTGCGCTAAGATATCAAAAAATAGCCCTGAATTTCAGCTATTTTTTGATACCAAAGACACATTTTTTGAAAGTACGAGCGCTTTGAAAAAAATGAAATACTAAAAAACTTTTGCGACTACGCGACTGTACGAGGGGGCTGGGGTATTATTACAGTATTTACGGTATGTAAATGATTGGCTAAATGACTGTAAATCTTTCACCATTGCTTTCATTTTCTCCTCGATTAACTGTTGTTCATAGTCGTTCTTGTGAGCCAAATATTCTGAGTAGACTTTTCTAGAGAGATGTTTAAAGAATATAATTAGAAATTTTTATACCCATAATTCTGCATTGAATCGGAGAAACCATTAAGCTGAGCAGCGTAGGCTTTTGACTTCTCTTCATTGACGAAAAGGATTGGATCCTGGGAAATTTTCATGTAAAAAAATTATCGCATAGTACATATTGAAAAAATAGTACAAAAATTTACAGTACCGCTTCATCTTCTTTTGAATCCGGAGCCTGGGTTGTTAAAAACCCTTCAGCCCATGGATAAGCAGTCTGCGAGTTGATCTTGTTGAAAAACTTTAATAGATCATCTAAATGAAATTTTCAGTGATTTCAGTAAATGATTAACTTCCAGGATCCTTTGCAGATGTTAGAAAAAGGATTATTAAAAAATAGAAAGCTCTAGTGAACATTTTGAATCAATGGAGAGGAGCTTTTCTCTGAAGATCTCACTTTCTTCCATGACCCATTTCCTTTGACAAGAGAAAGGTAAATGAAAAAAGGATTATCGTATGTGAAACCTGGATTGTAACTGAAAAATGGATTTAAAATCAATGATTTATATTTATTGCTATACTTTGCTTTTACATTGTATTTGCAGATCATTAGCTAGTAGGTTGCACCTAGATCTCAACAGTAAACAAATCACTCCTATCGACGAATACATTATGAGTCTTCGATTCAAACAACTAGGGTAATGTATTTTTTCGCAAACAGCAGATAAACATTTTCAAAATTTCTCTACAAAAATTTAATACTTTTTTTAGTTCCAGGTTTGTCATATTCAAATCATTTCACAGCCAAAATTTTCTTTAGCTTGATTTATAACAAAATCTTTTAGTTTGAAACTCGATGCTCTTTTAAAAACAGCCAACATGGACAATTCCCCACTACTTACACCGAATCGCGAAAATGTGGAAGCTGGTGATGAAGAGGATTTCTCAAGAAAGTCATGGAAACAAATTCTCTGCTCAAAGACAGCATTTTGGGTGTATTTCTATTTGATTCTCGTCATTCTTTTCATCATTGCTGGCTGGTTTCTGAGAGCAAGATATGAATGAAGTCAATGGAAAAAGGAAAATCAACAATCTGCAACGAAAAACATCATTTCTTTTAAACTGTAACCTTAACAAATAACTAATTGAACTGTACAGCTCGTAAAGGTAAGCTAAACAGCTTACCAAATTTTTGATTTCCGAGAAAAGCTTTAAACCAACTTCCACGCTTTCAAACTTTATTTGATTTTGAATATTTTGTAAATATCCGTGTACCCACTTCACTACACACTTCCAAGCATTCTGTATCCTTGCTCAACGGGCTCAATTACGTGTACTTGAAACAAATGTGACATAATATTTCCACGCAAAGTATTCTTTCCCTTTGTCATTCTAAATTGTTTTACAAAATTTGCTTTTCTTGGCTTTTCACATACAAAATCTTTGATTAATAAAACTTTTTTAAAAAAGTTGACGTTTGCAATAAGTAAGTTTACGCGAATGACGTATTTTGTCAAATTCTGACGCTAAATAAGCCCAATGAATAAAATGAAGATATTCAATTGTCAAGCTGAATATCTAGATATCTGCGGGTGTATTGATATTTATAGAAGTCTAATTGGCTTTTTTCATTAGAGCGGGGGTAGGCAACTTTTTCCGCAACTTTTTTTGCGCAACTCGGCATAACTTTCTTCTAAGTGGGCTAATTTTTATGAGTTTGGTCTCATTTTGTAGATCTCAATAAGTGCAACAAAATGAAATCAAAAGCATAAAGATTGGTTCATTTAGAAGAAAGTTATGGTGAGTTGCGCAAACGACCCAGTTGCGCAAATGATCCTGTTGCGCAAAAAAAGTTCTGGAAACTAGCCTACCCCTTAGAGCGCGCATTTTGGCTTGCTTAGTAAAATCTAGTGTTTTAAGCGGTTCGTGTCGATACTTTTCTTTTATTCTGAAGAAATAGATATATGCTGAAGCGATTGGTACTAATTTAAGCACGTTTTTGATAATTCTATTCGACGATTTGCCCTGTGTGCTAGCTGTACTTTAGCCACCGAACGTTATATCAAAGCTGATTACACTTGGAAAGCTGCAATACTAACTTGAAACATGTTGGAAATACTCTAAAATTAGCACCAATCGCTTCAGCATATATAATTATCCCGGAAGAGAAGCAAAGTATCGCCACGAACCGCTCAAAACACTAGATTCGACGAAGCCAAGCCAGTGGCCCCACCCAACCACCAAAGCACCAAATCCGCTCGTCTTTTTCTACCTTGCGCTACTTTGCCGTAAACTCTCATGAACCTTAGATAACTTTGCTACTTAAATCTATTTTTTTGAAAGTTTCACGGTTTCTCGTTGGAGTAGTAATATCAAAGCTAGATTGGAGAAAATTTAAGGCTAAACATCGTCATCACTTGCAAGTGGATGTAAACAAAAGTTGTAACATTCCTTTTTGCCAATTTTTCCCCCACCAGGCCTACGTTTTCTTGTTTTCTTTAACCGTCGGTCTTTTTATACGATTTTCATTCAGGGGATAAATGAATGTCACGTGCCTCTTCCCGAAGTGCGAAGAGCAACTACAGCCGCACGACCTCGACGATCACATTCGACATCATCTTCGCTTGAAATTATACAGGTTAGTTGGATTTTTAAACAACTGAATTTAACTACTGAACAACTGAGCTGAAAGCTTCTGAAAGTTCATGTACTTTGACAACGAATATCGTTTCATGTTTCATTTTTTTACGTTAATCGCACATAAGTCACTTTTTCACAGAAAGTTCTAAATATTTTTATTCTGAGTTTGTCTTTGTGAATCATTTAAAATCTTCATTTTAGATGTTATTGCGAAAAGCGATTCTACACTTGGGCTGGTCTTCAGGAGCATTTGGAAACGATCGCGGATGACGAAATTCACTGTATCACTAACGATGTGCGTTTGTTTATTGTCTAAAATTTAGGGATTTACTTCCAATACTAGCTTATCATTTAAATGAATTGATTTAGTGTCCTGGTGATGTTTACCTCAAGGCACTGGTGAGCCGAATCATTGCCGATTTTAAAAGCGCGGAAAATGGTGCTCCGATTCCGGTGATTGCATCAAATCTTCGCCTGAGGTATTTCAACTATCGAATGTAAATACTACACATAATGTAGGGCTCATGCTGTTGCTTCACGGTCTGCATCGATAACTCCTGCAGAAATTGTTGGCGAAAAACGCCCAGGATTAGAAACACAGGTAAAAGTTGTACTCAAAATTAAAGTGTTTGACTTTAGGAAGAAGTCGCTCCTCGAAAAGTCTATTGTTCAATGCAAATGCCCGCGGAAAATTCGGCTGACGATTTGGCTATCTTTGTGCCGGCTCGGTGAATGCTCCCCTTTGATTTGATTCACAAAGCTTTGATTTATAACGCTAATATTACTTACGAGATCTAATACCCTTCACTTGAACTTTCTACCTTTACTGAGTTCAATTTTTAGGTCTGCGAGTAGAAGTCCTATTCGGCCTGTGGCTCTCCGACCTGTTGGAAAATCTTCAGAAAGAAAACGAAATTTTTCTAATTCCACTCAAAGAAAAGAGTGAGCCTTTAAAATCTTTTAAAAATCTAGCATATTAATTATTAACGTGCATTTTGTAATAAAAAGTATTTCTATTTTTAGATCAGGTCGTACAAGCAAAAGCTCGAGTAATTTTTCTTAAATTAAGCTTGCGGAAAGTCGTGTTTTAAGACAAATGAGTAATTTATACTGTTTAGTAACCAAACACCGTCAAGGACAGCTTGTCGAACGCCAGTGTCTACGGCGCCATTGAACGTGTCTGAGCAAACTAATACCATAAGTTCTCCTCAATCAAGCAAGCGAAGGTCAATATTTTGTCTGTGGCATCCCAAATGTAACTTTGTCAGTCAGTTCTTGTATGTAAGTAAGCTTTCAAAGACAGTGTGATTTTAGTAGAAGCAGAAAGCGGTGAAAGCGAAAGGTTGTGTAGGCAAGTATTGCGCTTCCACAATCAGTTGATCAAGCTGTTTCGCTTCTGAACAAAGGGGCAATTTCATCAAGTTTCGACATTTAGATAAAGCCAAGAGTTGATGCAAGTGGCTAGGCATTTCATTATTTTTTCATATGGCATCAATCTTACTAAATAATACAATAAAGAATATTAATGAACTGAAAAATTTGTTTCATTTTAGGGATCACACGTTGGCAAGCCGAGAACAATCTCTAGCTTCTACAACGCGATCAGTGCGATTGAAAACTCCAATCAAAAATGTTGCAAAACTCCACAAAAAGCCAACAAGGTTAGTTTTATCTTAAACACTTTTTATTTCTGATTTTTGAATAAAACTTTGTCGTTAAGCCCTAATAAGTCAGTAGTGCCTCCAATTACAATTACAATTCCATCAGAAACAAATGAGGGCAGGTTAATTTTTTGGTTTTACTTGCTAAACGCAAAACAACTTTTAGAACATTACATGAGGCAATTACGGATGTCTTAAACATGCCAACGCTACCAAAGGAGAAAATGACTTTGCCACCGGTTTGCTATTTTTTTTTGTTTTGATTAATGTACTTTTCAGGAGTTAGCAAATCTTGGAAATGTCACTTGCCAGAAATGCCCAAAGCTGTCCTTTACAGTTGATTTTAGTAGGCTATTGCTTTTTTTTGTTTTATTCTATAAAGTATTTTAGGTGAAAGACGAACTCATGTAGCAAACACACACGTTTCGGCTAATCAAGGAAATTGGCGGTATACTGGAGATTACAGAAAGGAGCTCGCTTATCAAGTAAGTATATGGTTATTATCATTTGTTTAAAAAAAACTTTAGATGCGAGAATGTTTTTCCGATTTAGCTAGTGAAGATGACCTTTGTGTGGTTTGTTACGATACAGCCGTAAAGCCAACAAGATATACGGTTAGTTTTAAAATAAATATACTTTGGTTTTTCACGAGATGGTTTTACTATAGTCAATTACCTTAAGTGTTCCAACATGTTTTGTTTTAGAGTGAAACTGGTCGTATGGGTCATGTTCGAGCTTGTCATCTTCCCGCCGACAAATTTCTACCATGTCCATTTGCTTTTGAATCTAATAGTTGCAGGTAAGGGTTTTTACGCAGTTTTTTTCAAAAGTTATCTACAGGATGCATCGATTCAAAACTACCGAGGACGTTAACAGTCATTGCCAGGTAAATTCTTAATTTTATGTCGTTATTTCTTCGAGTTTAGCTAGTTCATCTCATTGAGGGATATTCGACCTTGAAAGATACGAAGAAGCCCGTCTACGAACAATTTCTCCATTTCAAACGAATCTACAATTTATTCTGTTCGGTTGGTATTTTGAACTCTTACAAATTGCAGTTTTGATTTTAGGAGTTGAAAGGCCTTTATTTTCCGGTGCCGGTCAACTCGAGTGCAGTCACTGCCTCAAACAGGTCAGCGAGCATGTTGGGATTGACTAACAATAGGACTATGCTTTAGTCCACTCAGAAATGAAGCAGCAAATGATAACGGCCAGGTTGTGGCTCATACGGATCCTAACGTTCAACAAGAGGCTCAAAGCACCGATGTTCAACCTATAAAACAAGAGGTTAATTTGTTAAGGTTATTATTTCAAATTTCTTTAGAATATGGTTGAATTGCAAAGGGAAGTTTCGGAAACACCGCCAACTACAAGTAGAACTTTCCCTTTGAAATCCGGGACCTGGGTGAGTTAAAAAATTTAAAAGAAGAAGCTAAAAGTATTTCAATTATCAAAAGTGATAACTCTTTATAGACTCCCATGCCAACTCGTCCATATTCGGCCTTATCAAGGATGACTGGCCGCAGGTCTTTCCCGAGTCCTTCAAGTGGAGGATTGCGTAACCCTTTTGCGACGGCGCAAAGGAGAGGTCGTGGACGACAACAGCAAAGTATAAATTTTAACATTATTGCAACTTGATAAATGTAAAATTAAACTGGTTACGAGGGATTTACTTAAGTCTTAAGTTTGTTGAAAAGTAGTGATTTGATTAAATTAAGTCTTTTCTTTTAGTTCAGCCAAATCACGACTGGCACTTCAGGGGAAACAAGTTCTAGCGGCAAATCGAATCTAATCATTTTATGCTTCTTTGTTTTCAATTGGTTGTTTGTGCCTTTTACACTTTTAAAAGTTTATTTTTAAGTTTGTTATGTTCGAATAAAGTTTTGTTATTTTTTGACTTCAGCAAAAGATTAAATTCATGATTTGATTTTAGAATTTGGAAAAGGGTGACAAGCTTCTGAAGATCATCATTTTGATCGAAATCTTCAAGATATGAAGTCCAAATGATTTCAATCTGGAAAGTTTTTGATAGATTTTAGATTTCACTGTAGCTACAACGTTTTTGGGTATGGATGACAGCGAATTAGCACATTTTTCTAAAACGGGTAGAAATTTGAAGTGGATTTCTAGATTGTCTGCATATGCCAGGTAGGTGGTTCTTCGAATTCCAATGTTATCAACAGTCTAAAAAATGTTTTCTACATTTCTAAAGGAAATTTTAACCTCAACAAATGCCTCTTCTGCTGAAATGGTCAACGTTTTCGCTCGGGCTCGATCCTCCCATTTTTCGAGAATAATTTCCGCCAAATTTATTGGGAAACAATAGATGCTAGAATTGTTTAGGTTTAGAAGAATTTTAGCCGCAGTAGTTTATTTATAATTAAAATAATTCTGGGAAATGGGAATGAGGGAAAAAGGAAAAATTCGGAAAAGCTTTTTGTGATCAGCTTACTCTTTGTCTCCATCAAATTTCACTTCAAATTGTGGGCTGTCTTCGAAGGCTTCATAAATCGCTGAACGATGTAGCTGAATGCTTGAAAAATTCGTGTCGATTAGACGAATGATCTGAAAGTTGTAAATGTTGATGGTCAATTTTCAATTTATCTATCAATTGCTTGGATTTGGTTGCACTAAACTCTTGTCTTAACTTATCAATTGTAGAGCCTATCTACTGTAATCGTACTCCATCATCAGAATGACGAGCGGAGTGTTGCGTGGTCTAGCTTTGAACGCGTTTTTCTTGAAACTTATGCTAAAATGCGCCTAAGTATCAAAAAATAGCTGAAACTGCTATTTTTGATACCAAAGACGCATTTTTTGAAAAGTACGGGCGCTTTTAAAAAAAGAAGTACGAGAAAACTTTTGCGATTACGCGACTGGTACGTTTTGACATAAAAATTTCAGCTGTGTGGCTTGGCGACTCGTTGATCCGAGGGTCGAGGGTTCGACTCCCTACTGTGATCAAATTCTCAACTTTTTTCTTCAAAAAGATCGAAGTTTAGGGTATTAGGTTGTTCGGAAATAAATGAGCATTTTTCAACTCGAATATTTTAAATCCCATAACTTGCTTCAAACAAAAACTTTATTAATCGAAATCGAACCATTACAATTAACAAATTTTTATAATTTTATCCAGTGATCACGAAAAAAAAAACATGTTTTTTTTGCCTACCGTAAATACTGTAATAGTACCCCACCCCCCTCGTACAGTCGCGTAGTCGCAAAATTTTTTTAGTATTTAATTTTTTTTAAAGCGCCCGTACTTTCAAAAAATGTGTCTTTGGTATCAAAAAATAGCTGAAATTCAGGGCTATTTTTTGATACCTAAGCGCGCATTGTAGCATAAATCAGTGTCGAGAAAAACTCGTCCAAAGCTAGACTACGCAACGCTCCGCACCGTCATTATGGGGGTGGGGTACTATTACAGTATTTACGGTAGGTTTTTAACCGAAAAATTGAAATGTAATTTTAAGACTTTTTTTGGGTCACTGATCTCACTTAAATGCTTATAAAATGCTTATAAAAATTTTAAAACGCAACGAATCAACAAATTTTCTTTGCTACTGTGTTCCTATTGAATACAGCTTTCGCAGAAGACAAAACTCGTTAAGATGGGTTAAGTTTCAGACCATTTACCAGCAAATCCGTCATTACTTATTGTGCCAGCTAAATATTAGAGTATTTACGATAGATATGCACATTATTTTAGAGGAAAATCTCAGCGTTTAGCTTTGGCTGTATATTGCTGAAAAAAAAAATGAGAATTCGCTAATTCAACAAAGCTAAAAAGCTGAATCGTATTTGTAAACCACGTTTTAAAACATGAAGTTTTTCTCGAAAACAAGATGTACTGAAATTTCCAAATCATCGAATAACAAACGTGCCGGAAATAAAGGAATGCCGGCTGACCAGCTCTCTTTCGATCCTCAAAAAGCGTTTCGATGCTCTTGCAAGAATCGAATTAAGAAATTTCTCTCTCTCTTGTTTGAGGAATAAATTAGAGAAATTGGATTTATGAACTTTGACAATGAATGAGAGAAATTTGCGTTTATCCCTATTTTCGGGGGCAGTCTAATTTCCGCCATTTTATTTGCAAAACAGGATCTTTTACGCAACTCGTCCTAACTTTCTTCTAAGTGTGCCAATCTTTATGATTTTGGTTTCATTTTGTAGATCTCAATAAGTGCAACAAAATGACATCAAAATCTTAAAGATTGGCCTACTTAGAAGAAATTTATGGCACAAATAACCCTGTTGCGCAAAAAAAATTCTTTGCGAAAAAATCTTTTACGCAACTCACCATAACTTTCTTCTAAGTAGGCCAATCTTTAAGATTTTGATGTCATTTTGTAGATCTCAATAAGTGCAACAAAATGAAATCAAAAGCATAAAGATTGGTCCACTTAGAAGAAAGTTAGGGCGAGTTGCGCAAAAGATCCTGTTGCGCAAATAAAATGGCGGAAATTAACCTAATTTTCGATTAAGAAAATTGAAAAGAGTATTGTAACGTTTAGCATTTAACATTTTGCAATTCAAGATCATTTGAGTAAGTTTAGTGTTTGTTTTTAGTTTGTTTTTAGCTTGTTTTCGTTTAGTAAACTTTGTTTTTCATAGGGTTTAGTGTAAATATTTCAATTTGAGTACTGTATCTTCATATCAACTTTTTAATAGCTTTTATTTCATTATTACTACTGTTACTGTGTTTTTACAATACATTTTATCAATCTCTTACCAGTTTTCCGTAAAGTTTGCAATCAATTGCGATGCTCTCGAGCTGACTCGGCAACAACCCGATCACCCCAAGATTCTCTCGTAAAATCTAAAATCCCTACTTTTTAAACTATTAGGTTGTCCAATTATGAATGCGCGTTTTTACTATTTTGTAAATTTTTCAGGATATCGAACAGATCTATATGAGTGTTATAACCATCGTAGCTGAAGATCCCTCTACATTTTGATATAAAAAACCTTTGGAATTTGTTGAGCTTTTGGGCAAATTGACTGCACAAAGGGAGAGGTCGTTTTCGAAAAACCCATTTCAGTTTGCTATCCCAAGTTTTTGGTGTAAAATAACCGCCCAGAAAGAAAAGAAAAGTAAAGTGCCTGAAATTGTTATATTTAAAAGAAGTTGTATTGTATATCTATTGGCCAAACATCAAACGGTTAACTCACTTTGAGCGGAGCCAAAACTTGATCCAAAGACACCCTTCCATTTTTTGGCCCCCTCTTCTTCGGTGCAGTCATTTGCCCAAAGCTGAACAAATGCAAAAACTTTTTATATCAAAATGTAGAGGAGATCTTCAGCTTTCGAATACCATTTATATGTTTTTCTTGTTTCGGTATCTTGAGAAATTTACAAAATAGTAAAAAACGCGCATTCATAACTGGACAACCCAATATTAAAAAGCTATTAAAAAAGATAACTTTTAAGCATTTAAGCATACTTTATTAACTTTTAAACATTTCAATCTTGTAGAGACGTCAAGACAGTCAACAATTTGAACACGTAACTCATTTGGTAGTAATAAAAAGGGAAACATTTTGTTGAGAAATAGAGAGCCACTTGTTTACTCACTGAAATCAACAGCTGACTGCTCTTGTGACTTTGAAAGCGCTACTTTTAGCAAACTGAACTAAAAGAAAAGCTGTTTAGTCAAGCGCTAAAAGCTTCTTGACTCAATTCTCAATTCCACACGTAGGACTTGAAAAGTTTGCAGGTTCGTCTCACGTTCTTCGAAATTAACAAGCCAATCGGGAATCGAGAAAAGGGAAAAAGATGAACGGTTTATTTTGAGTTTATGGTTTTCCGGTTGATGGAAAAACGAGAAAATGGCGATGGCTTTTGTGGGGGTCAGTTTCATCGAAAAAACCGAGATGGATAGGAAACGGTGTGAGCCGCGAGATTGGTTAAAAACGTTGAGAGAAAGAACAGGAAAAGTTCTATAAAAAGCGATGAGAATTGAATGTAAAGCTATTTCCACCCAGTAACAAAGAGAACATTAACCTCGTAAAGAAGACGGTGATCTTTTGAGGTGATCTGGTAACAGAAGCTTTATTAAAGTTCCGGTACTTTGTACTATTTTGGTATCCACTTGTTGCCCATTTTGGATTCTAAAGATACACTTGTGTTACTTTAAAATGATCATAGATGTTAGCAGAATTGATGTTATTGATTGATCATAGATGATCATAGATGTTAGCAGAATTGCAATCAAACTCAAGTCAACAGTCAACAAAGTCAAAGGGTATAAAATCAAGTAAAGTAAAGCAGTGTGTAATACTTTTGGTGTGCATAAGCTTGAATTTCTTCTTCTTGGCATCTATAACAAGCCAACATTGTAAGCTTTTGCTTAAAAAGTTCATCAATCGTTAGCAATATCGTATCTCATAAAAAAGCTTCTTTAGCCAATATCAACAGTTCGAAGATTCATTCGAAGTTTCAATTTCTTCGCAAAAAACAAAAAGACTGAGGCTGTGTTTCAGCTGAAAGCTTAATTAACAGTCCACTCAGCAAAAAGTGTGCGACCAAAGTGCCCCTGAGCGGGCCCTCTTCTCAATCACTTGTCTTAAATAGTGTTGCACTTATAAATTAACCAGAAACGTTTTCTAAATCAGTTTTTCGCGAGGAATTCGAATTTCTTACTTTTAAAATCGTATCTTTTATCTAAAATTACCAAAAATGCAGAAAATACAAGTACGGGAACTTTTGGCGCACCAAGTAAAGTAAAGCAGTGTGTAAGATAGTGTGCATAAGCTTGAATTTCTTCTTCTTGGCATCTATAACAAGCCAACATTGTAAGCTTTTGCTTAAAAAGTTCATCAATCGTTAGCAATATCGTATCTCATAAAAAAGCTTCTTTAGCCAATATCAACAGTTCGAAGATTCATTCGAAGTTTCAATTTCTTCGCAAAAAACAAAAAGACTGAGGCTGTTTTCAGCTGAAAGCTTAATTAACGGTCCACTCAGCAAAAAGTGTGTTGATCGATGGAGAAAATCGCCAATTTCTTTGGATCTGGTTTCAAGGGAAAAAGAGCCGAGAATTGGGCGAGATGAGGACAATATTTGAGGGTGGAGTGGATAATTTTTGTGGATACAACAACGAGATATCAATTCATCTCTTTCGAGAAGCTATCCATCTGGTGGAGTTAAGCTATCGATCGATTGATACTTTATTTTTGGTTATTCAAAGGCTTTGACCCAAAGATTTCTATCTAGTCACGTTTTTTTGTTTGTTTATTCAGAAATGCGGAATAGTTTTATCATTTTTGTCATTGTTCTGGCAACACTAGCAGGTAAATTGTTTGCAATTGTTAAATTGTCAATTTCTTAAGGTTATGTGGATACTTGTTTTCGGATGAATCCACCAACCACTACAACAAAAGCGCCGACTACAACAACGTGAGTTTGAAGACTTTTAAATGTAAAAAAAGATACTCATCTAACTTTATAAACATTTAATTTTATTAAATAAACTAAATCTGAACTTTTATAGATATCTTTTTTAAGATCTAATGGCTTTTTTAAACTTAAGTTCTATTAAATCTATTGTATTTTTGTAAAAAGATCAACTGCGATTGTATAAGCTGATCAGCTTCTTCTTTAGCTTTTAAAACTTCTCCTTTAGCTTTTAAAGCTTCTCCTTTAACTTTTAAAGCTTTTAAACCTTCTCATTTAGCTTTTAGAGCTTCTCCTTTAGCTTTTAAAGCTTTTAAACCTTCTCATTTAGCTTTTAAAGCTTCTCCTTTAGCTTTTCTCTCTTCAGCGTTTTAGTTTTTACAATTGAATCTTTTGATAAAACCAATCTAGTCGAATTCCGAAAATTAGAAAGTTTTCTTTGTTTAGCAAACCGACTACTACGACAAAGCCAACGACAACTACGTGAGTTGTTTTAACAATTGCTTTTGGTTTAAAAACTGGGATTTATTGGAGTTTTTTTCTAGAACAACGACAACAACAACATCCACTAGCACAACCACAACAACTACCACCACGTAAATTTTAGTAGGGAAAATCAACGGTGCATGGCAATGGATTAATGGTTATGGTGTTAAAATGTGCTAAGGGGTAAATGGGTAAAAGGATAGTAACTGGTATTCCGGGATTTAAATTCGGGTTTGGTGACAAGGTGGGAAATTAAGTTTTGTAGGAAAACCACAACCACAACCACAACAACAACGTAACCCTTGTTTTATCAAATACACAATATGTTTCAGTTAAAAATTCGGGTGTTCACTGTGGTTGTCAAACTGTCTAACCAATCTTTATAGCACGACAACCACTACCACTACCACTACACCAACCACAACCACGACCACGACAACTACCAAGTATAAATTTGTCTAACTTTTCAGGCTCAGGGCTTTTAAGCGTGTACATTTGAATAGAGGAGTTGCTGTAGAAAATAACCTGAACTACTGGTAGTAAGGATGGTGGGACTGTAAAGGTTAAGAGTTTACTTTGTAGGACGACGACAACCACGACAACAACTACGACAACGACAACAACAACGACAACGACTACAACAACTACTACAACTACAACTACTACGACAACAACGACAACTACAACTACTACGACTACAACAACGACAACGACGACTACGACAACAACTACGACAACAACCACGACAACCACTACAACGACGACGACGACTACGACAACAACAACGACAACGACTACAACGACAACAACAACGACAACGACCACAACGACAACTACAACGACAACTACGACAACAACCACGACAACCACCACAACGACTACTACAACTACAACCACAACGTATTGATTTAACGATAGCTTTTTATTATTGGACAATTATCACTTGAAGTACTAGAAAGCTTCTGAAAATCAGGGTGTCAAATTGTATAACTAACTTAGAACTACTACAACCACAACAACAACAACTACTACTACTACTACCACAACGTAACTTTTAAGATTAACTTGAAAATCATTAACAAGGAGAATTTTATGTGGAGAATTCATCAACTTTTTTAGAACTACGACAACAACGACTACGACGACGACTACGACGACTACGACAACAACGTAATCCTTCTTTTTCTGACAATCAGATAATCTAGACTGATAGGAATAGAATAAACTGATAAGAGAAGCGAGAATTCGGTCTAGTCCTCAACGTTATTGTCATATCAAGTCAATTTTTGTAGACAAGATTTTCAGAACAACCACAACCACCACGACAACGTAATTTTAATAGGGTTTTCGGTAGCTAAGAGGGATCTGGAGAAAGAATTTTTATTGAATTGGGGTGAGGGAAATGATCGTGGGGAGGCTCGCCTATCACTTACTTTTTTCCGTCTAACCTAACATTTCACAGAACCACCACCACAACGACCACAACGACCACCACAACCACGTAATTCTTGATTTTTGATTTAGTTTCAATTTCTGGTTAATCAAATGTATTTTAAGAATTTTAGAACAACGACAACAACGACAACGACAACGACAACGACAACGACAACTACTACGACAACTACTACGACAACAACGACAACGACAACGACCACTACGACTACAACAACGACAACAACGACTACGACAACGACAACAACAACTACTACAACTACTACGACAACAACTACCACAACTACGACAACAACGACAACTACTACAACGGTATGATCAAGTTACTTAGGCTTTTGTAACTTGGTTGTACTGAAAAATCTTATCACCAAACTTTCAGACGACAACCACGACTACCACGACAACCACAACAACTGGAGGTAATCAAAGAAATTTCAAGCAAGAAACATTTCTTCAGTGTGTGCCCGATGTCCGACACCGGTTGTCGCAGCGGGCATCACTGTAATGGTAACGTTCGACGCGCAGGGTTGTGCAGTGGCAACGTTCACTGGATGTAATACCTATCGGTTAGTTGTAAAAGTCTGCAAAATTCTGTGATTTTTCTAGAGCCAGAGCTGGTATTACAACTGTAGCAGTGAATAATCCCAACACTTGTGTCAATCAAGGAGCATCGGGACCTAGATGGTGAGTTGAAGAAGTTTATGATTGAAAAGAGTAGATCTATGGACATGTGGTTGATTGCATGTTATTGAGAATTGATCATTTTCATTACTGGAGTGAATTAATTGAATTAACTTCATTTAATTACAGGTACGCTACTTTGGCCAACACTGCAACAGTCTCCTGTGCCTCTTAGTTCAACAAACAAACAAAAAGCATTCTAATAAGGCCTTAATAAATATCTTTGTCTATGGAAAAATGATAAAAGCAAAGAAGTACAACGACAACAACGACAACAACAACACAAGATTATGTCTAGTGATAGATGATTAGAATAGAATAGTTTGTCTGGTTTGTAAATGATAAGAAGCTGAACTAGTGCTTTTGAATTTATTCAATTAATGACTCAAGGTAGATAAGATACAAGATATTCAAATTTTCAAGCTCATTCTCAGGAAATGAACTTAAAACTTGTTATATATTGGGTTGGTGAATTGAAAACTAAAATTTATTCAACATAAAACCATGAATTCATTCGAAATAATTTCCATTATTATTGACGACTTCTGCCCATTTTACAGGCAATTTGTGGATTCCTCTTTCGTAGTAGGATTTTGGTTTTGAATCGAAAAACTTTCAAAGCCAATTTTTGACTGCTTCTTCCGAATCGAAGTGTTCTCCCGCAAGCTCATTACTCATGATCCGAAATAAATAGTAATCAAAAGGGGAGAGGTCTGGACTGTATGGGGAATGCGCCAAAAGTTCCCAAATAAGGCTATTTATTTTAGAGCGAGTCAGTTTTGCAATATGAGGGCGCGCGTTGTCGTGGATGAGAACGATCTTTGACTTGGAGGGCCTATTCTTCTTCAGGCTCATTACTCATGATCCAGAACTTCCCAACAGTCCACTGTATTTGATTGCATTAACGGTCGTCTTGCTATCCAGCAACTCCCAGTACAAGTGTGTGAGACAAGTGTGAGACTCAAAAATCGAGGACTGGAGATGTCCCAGTTTGAGCATTTGAGCACTTTCCTCAAAAGAAACCCATTTTGGTGTCAATAGAAAAGTTGTAGAGAATCAAAAATTAGGCTTATAGCCAAATTTCCAAAAAGATCCACTTAGTAGTTTCGCTTAAAATGCAAGTTTTGTGAAAGTTCGTAAATTTGGCATTTCTTGAAAACCAGTTTTTGAATCGTTCTGAAAATTTGGATATAAGCTTGATTTTTGATTCTCTACAACTTTTCCATTGCCTCCAAAATGGGTTTCTTTTGAAGAAAGTGCTCAAACTGTCACATATGACAATAGCCCGCAGTTTTCAATTCACCAACCCAATAAATCGTACGTGCAGAAGCGTTGAAAAAAAAAAACCCCCAGATTCAAAGTCATTGTGAGTTAGAACTTGTGCAAAAACTCTAGTGAATGATGAATTTGAAAAATTTCTTTGTAATGAACGAGCTAAGAACTTATTAAAGTAATCTTCGTAGTTTAGGATGACAAAAAAAAGTACATGAATCGTATTTTATCCATCAAATCTAGAACAAGCTTTCGCCAAAAAAAACAAGATTTTCCGAAATTTCCACACACGAAAATTGAGCGCTAATTTCTCATCCGGTTGTGGCAAACGTTTTTCTTGAAAAAAGACATGTGGTGGATTGAAAAGTGGGAGAAGTGAGAGTGGGGAAATGAGAAGAGAAAGCGGGATTGCTGTACTGTATTTGGTAAGAAGGGGGGCGACCCAATCCGCCGTTCCCCTCGAGAATGAACAGACCCCAACCGGATCCCTCCATTCACCCATTTTTCATAAATTTCTTCGCTTCCCATTCGCTTACCTAGACTTTAAAACTCTTTAAAGATATTCAGCTATTCAGCTATTCAGCTATATTTTATTGCTAAATTCTTTACGATTCAATTAAAAAGAAATGTTGATGTTGTGGATTCTTTTAGCGTTACCAGGTATCCTTAGAGTTTGATCAAGGTCACTTTCAGGTCAAGTTTTGATCTGGCTACCCTATTCAATCCTATTTGTAAACCTTAATCAATTGACTATCTAAATCGTAGCCTAGTTACAGTAACCCAGATGCTTTGGTTATCGTATCATTGAAGTTGTTAAGAAAAGATCTATCTCAAAAGTTCAGAGCCATCCGACTCTTCAGTCTTTTCAGAATACAGCTTTTAAGACAACAAAAAAAACTATCTAAAGCTGACCATTTTAAAAAAAAGTTACAATTATATCAATTCTAAGGTTCTAATGCTTCAATTTAAGGCTTTTTAAGTAAAGAAGAAGCTTTTTAAGTAAAGAACAAGCTCTTTAAGTAAAGAAGAAGCTCTTTAAGTAAAGAAGAAGCTCTTTAAGTAAAGAACAAGCTCTTTAAGTAAAGAAGAAGCTTTTTAAGTAAAGAAGAAGCTCTTTAAGTCAAGAACAAGCTCTTTAAGTAAAGAAGAAGCTCTTTAAGTAAAGAAGAAGCTCTTTAAGTCAAGAACAAGCTCTTTAAGTAAAGAAGAAGCTTTTTAAAAGTCAATAATCAATCCAAATGTCTGGTGCTTGAATTTCTCCTAAAACTCATCTGAATTTTCTGAAATTTTGAATAAAAAATAGTCAGTCAAAAGAAATTCTCTTTTAAACCATTTCTAGACAAATTCTCGTTTTTTCTAGAAGAAAATTTCAGGTTAATTGAGGCGAAAACACAAAATTTTTAGCTCTAAAAGGTCGTCATCGGATTTCAAGTTCAGTGTTGAGTTGGAACTAGAGCAGATCAAAAACTTCAGCGCCGGTGGGACTCGAACCCCCAATCTTTCGCTCACCAGGCAACTGTGCTAACCATTACACCACAACACACCTGAAAAAGCTGTTGTTCTGTTGTTTGGAAAAAGCAACACACCTGAAAAAGCTCTCCCTTGTTTTAGGGGGAGCTAAGTGTTGTTTTACTTAAAGAATCTGCATTTGTTGCATTTTCTGCTATCTGCATCTTTTTTTTTTTTCGGAAATCCTTTCTAAACCAAAATTTCCTCTAGATTTTCTCTAAAATTTCTCTAAACGGTAAAAATTAGAGTGTGTTCCTCACGAGTAATGCGTTTTTTAAAACGCACACTTAGGTAACCGTACTATAACCGTACTTTTAGCGAAAATTATTGCAAAAAATTGGCGCAAAAATCACAAGCGACGACTTTTAGACGACTCTTTTTAAAGATACTCAGCCGTTTAACTGATTTGGTGGCAAGTTCCCCTTCATAGGTAAAGGTATTCAATTTATTCGACGTGTAAAGAGGATTACTCGTAGTTACTCGACCAATAACGTCGATTAATCGAGTAAAAATTTACTCATGCCAATTTTACTTCGAGTAATCACTTACTCGCGAGGAACACACTCTAGTAAAAACGAGATGGCTTTGAATTTTTGATTCTGTAAAGATCTAGCATACGAAAATGAGATATTCCATCAAATTTCTGGCTTTTTTAAGGCTGATAAAGAGAATGTATTCAGATGTTTGCATAAGTTTTTCTGTTTATTTTCAAAACCTTTTTTCTTTTAGCTATCATGGATACATGCATTAGAATGCCCACAAGACCAACGACAACACCAACACCTAGTAAGACTCTTGGAACAATAAAAACGATTACAAATATCACTGAGTTTCAGACATTTTCTCACTGTACACGTGCACTTTGTGACCAGAATGAAAACGCAACCTAACTGGCGCACTTAAACAAATAGGCTTTCTCATAGGCTGAATCAAGTACGTCAGAAAGTACGCCAGAAAGTACGCCAGAAAGTACGCCAGAAAGTACGCCAGAAAGCACGCCAGAAAGTACGCCAGAAAGCACGCCAGAAAGTACGCCAGAAAGTACGCCAGAAAGTACGCCAGAAAGTACGCCAGAAAGTACGCCAGAAAGTACGCCAGAAAGTACGCCTTTCCATTTCCATTCATAGGCTGAATCAAGTGCGCCAGAAAGGACGCCTTTCCATTTCTTAACCACAAAGTACACTCCAAAGACTGAATTTATTTCGTTTTACCCATTTCTTTGTCTTTTCAATTCAACTCAAAGATCTCCGACGTTTTGCCGTTTTTGATTTTGATTTGATTAGATTTAGATTTTCATTTTTAAAAGCACACACAAATCCTTCACGCGAGAGGTTTGCACATTTTTTTCACCTTTTTTTTCACAGCCACGACCAGCACAAAGAAAACCACAACAAGCACTACAACAACAACTACAGCCACGACGACAACGACTACGACGACTACGACGACAACTACGACTACAACAACAACAACAACAACTACAACGACTACAACGACAACTACAACGACTACAACGACAAGTAAGTTTTGATAATAAGTAAGGCAGCCATTGAAAACATGTTTAAAATCCATTTTTTCACATTTACAGTATTAAAAAGTGATCAGTGATTTCACAGGGTTTCTCAAAAGTTCTTATACTTTTTTTAAACAAACACTTTTTAAAAACCAACGTGGGATTATAAAAATTCAGATATTTTTACCTTTACTATATATTTTTTTGAATAAAAATTCAAACTCTAAACAACTTTTTAATGAGAATATTTAAAGGTCGTCAAAGCTTTTGAGATTTGCTTGAAAATCTTTCGTTTTTAAGATATAAAGTTTGTTTTTGGATTGTTTTCAAGAAAAAACTTAGAAAAAAACTTTTTTCAAGAAAAAACTTTCAAATGGTATCAATAGTTTTTCGAATAAATTTCATTCTACAACGTTTAAATCAACGTTTAAGTCAACAAAAAAAATCTTCAGCGACGGATGTAAAAGCTAGTCAAAGGGTTATTGAAAGTTGAAATCTTTTTATGAAAATGGATATATTGAGAGAAAAATATTCTGACTTTATAGAATCCGGGGTTAATTTTTCAAAAAAGACCGTGTTTTCTGAGTCAAACTGTCCGTTTACAAAAAGTTGAAGAACTTTTGAGACATCCTGGATTCTTTGATTGCTTTTAAACTAGAGATATAGAGATTCTTTGATTCCCTTTACACTAGAGATATAGAGGTTCTTTGATTGCCTTTACACTAAAGATATAGAGATTCTTTGATTGCCTTTACAGAAATCAATTATAGAACTTTACTGTACTTTTGACATTAGGTCAGTCTGGATTTTTGATGATGGATGATGATCAGACAATCATGATTCAAATTTAAAAAGAGATCTGAGTTTGAAATTCTTAAGATCTTAAGATCACAAGATCCCTAATCGACAAGTTTCATTCCAAGATCAGGGGTCACAAGATCCCTGATCGACAAGTTTCATTCCAAGATCAGGGGTCACAAGATCCCTAATCGATAGGATTTAATCGGATCGAGATTAGAAAGATTAGAAATAGAATAAAGAAATAGATCATTGCGTAAAGATTAAAAATTGAATTTAACTAGGTTAACTATTAAAATTTCAACTTTTAGCATGTCAAGCTTGTGCTGCATTGACACAAACAGCTCCATCAGCTAATGTGCAAGTGAGTTTTTAAAGTGCTATGAATTCTGAAACTTCATTGAAAACCTAACTTCTATTCCAAAAAACTTTTCAGACTCAAACCTATTTCTCAATCATGGGTGGTACAGGCGGTGCTTGTACAACAGCAACAAATCAGTGTGCAGCTAATGCAAACTTGAGGTTTATAAAAGCTATTAGTAAATATGTAGAAATCTTCAGATTGGTGACTGATCAAGGAGTGAAAACAGTTCCAGCAAATGCTCAAACTCAAGCACTTACATGTACAGCTGGAAAATGGCAAACGACTTTCGAGGGGCAAACTTTAGAGGTTACGGAGGATATTTGCTACGTGGCTCGTGAGTTTTGCAAATCTAGAATTGAATCAAACTGATCTCAAGTTTGATAGCTAAGTTCATTGAGCTGCTTGACGAATGACTTGCATTTTCAACTTCTAGGTTGTGCCGAGTGTCCCCAACCGACAGTTGCAGCTGGTATCACTGCCACAGTCACCTATGACCCAGACACTTTCTGCTCGATTGCTACTTTCACCGGTTGTCCGACTGGATTTCAGTGAGTACTGATGTCAGAAATCAGTCCCTATAAGGCTTCTTTCACCATCCGAAGCCCTGACCTTGTGGTGTAGTGGATAAGAGTCTTTTCTCTAAAACGAGTCACTAAATCTTTGCTCGGGTTCGATCCCTTCCTTTCATTTTCATTTTATTTTGATGTTTAATAGCTCAATTTTAACTTTACAATAAGTATTATAACATCTTGATAACAAAAAAACACACATAGCAGCAATAAATGAAATTTACTTTATAGATTGTCTTGTGACAAAGAAAGTTAAGGTTTTGAGGGTTTCAAGAGTGCCACAAGTACTTTAAGCCCGTTCTTTCTTGAATCTAAAGATAATTTAAAAAGCCTAAGTGCGTTAGAAGTAGTGTGTTTTCATTTTTGAACACTTGAAAAGAAATTCGCTTCAGAGTCAAGAGCACGGGTACATTCCAACAGAAAATCACGAGCCCGTTGCCATGCGTCGACTTTGGAGCCACTGCTGGTGGAAGATGGTGGGTTTACAATCAAAAAAATATTCCAATTATTGCAAGAAATAGAAATCATCTCTTAAAATCAGATTGAAAACAAAAAAAGCTTTGTTTACTCAATTCCGTTTTAGGTACACGAACTTAGTGCCAAATACAAATCTGGTTTCATGTCGTTGATCGAATGAATCGGCACTTTTACGGGTGTTCTTCTCAAATATTCTACGGGACCATGACTTAATAATTAATAAATGCTTAATAATTGTTGCATTGAAAAGAAGGTACTTAAAATTTTGTAAACAACAAGTGATTAACCCATTCGAACCGCAGCGTTTTTTCTTTTTTTTCGTCTACGGACCAAGCCCTTTTTTGACATTTTTGACTCCGAAGCAGTTTATTTATGGTTGGAAAGATGTAAGAGAGTCTCCTACACCATTTATTTTTGATGAAGAACGATTTGGATTTGACTTCAGTACTTTTCAAGATCCTATCGGTTATTGTTCTTATTTTATCGACGACAATATTTTAGTAGGCGAATCTAATAAACATGGAAAAAGGAAAACAAACTGGCAGGATTTCGATGCAAAATCTTTCAAGCTCTTCCTGGCTTCAAATGGGAATCGTCAAATTACCGAGAATTCGTGACTACTGGAGTAGCAGGCCTGGATTAGGAGGATTTTCCCACATGTCCCACATTATGTCAAGAGCAAAATTTGAATCTATTCTTCGCAACCTGCGTTTTTGTGATAATGAACTGGATCCTGCAGGAGATCGGCTTTAAAAGATTAGAGCTATTATGGAACATTTCAATGCAAAACCAGAGACTGCATTGATTCCGGGTAAATATGAAACATCTTTTTTGCCCACGTAATTTGTAGATCTGCTACAATTGGAATATACATGTAATGCTGAAAAACAGCAAAAAAAAGCAATTAATTGAATGAAAATAGCTCAATTAGCGCTGCAGCGAATAATCGCTGCAGCGGTCCGTTCCTGAGTTTTTGCTGCAGAAGTTTCGAATGGGTTAACAAGCCTTTGAAACGTTTATGAGCTTTAATGAGAAAAGGGAGTTCATCCAGTTGAAGAGGTGTTCACTGTTCATATAAAAACGAATTTACTTTGTATTACGACTTATGTGCTTATGTGCTTTCCTTTGAATTCATTAGACATGGCTATACCTTGAATGGATGAATAACATGAATAACAATTCTTGAATGAATAATAAAGCCAAGTTTATTCAATAAGTCTGTGAAAATGTTTCAATAAAGCTTAAAAAAGTGTGTTTACTTAGAGATAAGTTTTGTAACGATCCAGGAAACAAGCTTTGCTTTTGTTGTTTCCATTCAATTCCCTAAAACATCTTACAATTATTTTTGGCTTTCATTGTGGTCTGGCTACGAAAAAGTTCCGGATTCTCCACTCGGCTTCCAAATGGAAATAGTTACTAGTCAACTTGGGGGTTTCACTTTTTTCTTTGCTTCAAAACCACTTTGCTGAGGTATGCATAGATTCCGTTTTATGCGTAGATTCCGAAAAACACAACGAGTGCTTGGGAAAAGGCGTTTTAAGCCGAATTTCGGGGCTTCAAAGTGCGCGCTCATACAGTGTGATGAGAGCTATACACATAGGGAAGAGGTCTAAAAATGGTCTCTCAAAACATTTTTTGGAACCAAAAACACTTCTTCTGGCATAATTTAACCTACTGATTACGTTTATGAACAAATTAGAGCAAAATAAAAAAAAATTTTTTCCCTAAATTTCAACCACATAAATCAAAATCGGTCAAAATTTCAAAAAATATTTTTTCAATTTCATTTGCCTCTACCAGTCAATTTAAGTCAGAAAATGACTATTTAGTGGTTAAAAATGGTTTTGGTTTTAGTTTTGACCTTGAAAATTGCTTCAATAGTCGATAGCTTGGGCTTCCATATAGTGAAGTGCACTAAAGAAGCGCGCATTTTGAAGCTCCGAAACACGGCTTAAAACGCCTTTTCCCAAGCTCTCGTTGCGTTTTTCGGAATAAAAGTACCCCCAGCAAAAATGGTTTTGAAGCAAAAAAATTAACATTTAAAATTTGCGACAAAGATTCAAATTTAACATGAAAACATCTCGAAATCATTTTCTATTGATAAAAAGGAATCACTTTGGCGAAGGAGACGTTCTTTTATACGCATTGTTTAGGGTACAGTATTTCTAGTGTCATTATACACGGCAGCTTTCTCGTGACATCACAGTACATTTAGTTCTTGATCTAATTGAATCCATTTTTAAAAAATCACTCTAACTCTCTCATAAACAATCAGTTTTTCAAAATACTTCAGATTAAAAAGTAAGGCATTTTCTTTCTTGAATTTCTCAATAACACAAGAATATGAGTCAAGAGTGACGAGGTAAAAAGGGGCAAGAAAAGAAGAAAAAAAAAGAACAACAACGACAATTTTCTTTTCGATTTTCTCTAATCGATGGAAGCTTTTGTGGGTTTTATAAAGAAAATTTTGATTTGATTTGTTTCAATTGTGAAAAATGATTTCAAATTGAGAATTTTAGAGTGAAAGATGGTTTACTATCAATTCCCTTTACATGACCGGCATCTCACTAATAATCACGACGATTTACACGATTTATTTTGAATTCTGGATGTGAGTGAGAGGATTTTGCATAGAATTAAGACTAGATTTTTATCTAGTTGAATTAAATACCATATTTTCTCTAATAATAGTGACCCCGGCGAGCCGAGTTGGTGACAATTTTACGGTTTTCAAGCTTTTGCAGAAGCTCGACACTCAAATCCCCCACTAGATCTCATCGTCAGCTACATTTTGCGATCCCACATCGATAGGTTCTGATAAGCAGTTCCCGAGATTTCAAGCAATTTAGGCAACGCTCAGATATTGAAAGCTCTACAATATCTACAAAGTCTAGAAAACTCAAATCTATCTTTATCAAATCATATGTAGAGCTATACTCAAATACCGTCTCTTCTCTAATAGTAGTGCACCACCGAGTTGATGACTATTTGACGGTTTCCAAGGTTTTGCAGAAGCTCAACACTCAAATCCCCTACAAGATCTCATTGCCAGCTACATTTTCCGACCCACATCGATAGATTCTGATAAGCGGTTCTCGAGATTTAGGCGACGCTTGGGGTGCACTACTATGAGAGAAAATACGGTAAATAAAAGCCTGATGATCTGATTTTAAGTAAACATAAGTTGGTACTTGTGAATCCCTTGCACGCATATTGTTTTCAAAATTTGCATATAAAACTGTTTGAAATGAATTTTCTAAAAACATTTTGAAACATCTTTAACTCTTAGTATTAGGTTGGCAACTTAATAATGACGCGTTTATGTAACAGATCATTTATTTCAAAAAAACACAAAAGAAGAGCTTTCAATTCGAAAGGTATTCTCCATTAGTATCTATGACTTCTTCCCATCTTCTGCGCAAATCCCGGATTCCATACTCGAAGAACTTGGGAGTTTTTGAGGCGAAGTAGTCATTCACTGCTTTTATGACCTGAGCATGATCATCGAACTTTTCTCCCTCCAAAAAGTGCTTCAGCGACCGAAACAAAAAGTAATCTGAAGGAGCCAGATCAGGTGAATAAGACGCGTGGGGCAAAACTTTCCAGCTAAGTTCCTCGATTTTCTTATAAGTGATCTTTGCAGTGTGAGGTTTTGCGCTGTCGTGTAAAAATCTGACTCTCTCCGGTTTGAGCCCCAATTTCTTCAAAGACTCGTTAACTCTCATTAATTGCTTCGAATAAAGATCAGCATCGACGGTTTGGCCAGGTTTCAGCACTTCATAATGCACCAATCCCTTGAAGTACCACCAGCAACAGAGCATTATCTTCTTCCCATGGATATCAGGTTTGGGAGTGGTTTGAGGGGTCTGCCCAGCAGATAGCCATTGATTTTTGCGTTTAATGTTCTCGTAGTTGATCCACGTTTCGTCAGAAGTCAAAACCCTGTGAAAAAAGTCGTTTGATTTACATTTTTGTAGCAAAATTGAGGCGACATTTTGTTGCTTTGGGTCAGTTCGTGAGGAACCCATTTTCCAACTCGATTCTTTTCCGAAGTTTGTGTAAATAGTTTTTGATTGTCGTATGGGATACTTCAAATATTTCTGCCAACTCACGAACGGTGAGTGTTGGGCAATCTTCAATTAAGGCGAGCAAGTCATCGTCGACCACTTCTGGAGGATGTTCTTGGTGTGGCTCGTCTACGAGGCTTTCATCGCCGCCTTGGAATCTTTGAAACCATCGTTGACATTGCCGAATGTGTATACTTTCCTCCCCAAAAACAGTGATGATCGTGCGATGAGATTCAGCTGGTGATTTTCCTTGTTTAAAATCGTAGAACAATGCAGCTCGAATACGGAATTTTTTGTCCTCCATTTTTTGCCAAAAAGCGAATGATGAAATTTGCAGCACTAAATGTTATTTATGCAGATATCTTTTACTTTGTATATATGCAAAAAAGAGGGAAGAAACGGCGCTTGAAATTACAAAAAACATGTTAAGTAGTGACGCGTCATTATTAAGTTGCCAACCTAATAGCTTACGTTTTCCTAGATGTAGGAGTGTGGTTGAATGGCGGATTACGTGGTTTCCTAGAGCATCTGCGGTGAGCCAATAAAAAAAACATTGGTATGACCCATCAGCTACTGTGTAATTTCAAAAATCCATTTGAAATCTTTTTACAGATTTCAAATGTATCTTTGCACATCTTACTGACTTACTGACTACTTGTCTGACTTGACTTCTAGCTCTGACTTGACTTCTAGTCAACCTGATCTGACTTTTGCAGTAAAGCCAGACAAGGACATCAATCGGAAAATTGCTTTGAACTTGAACTCAAACAAAAGGACAGTACAGGGTGACCAAGAATTACCGCAACACACAAAATGCCTGGCTTTTACCACCAAATATGCAAACCATCTCGAAAATTTAACTTAAATCTCTTTATTCAACATTCAACAAAATGTATATGGAATACAAATTTTTAAAATAAATGCTAATTAGGTGCTAATTAGATAATATGCGTGCAAAAGATTCACAAATAACCATAAATTTTTATTTATTAATTTAGATTACCTCTTCTAAAATTCGGTTTAGTTTTCCATACATGAACCAGCAACATTTCGCTTATTTTGTGATTCTTTGCTCTCTTTTAACAGCTTACACTGGCGACATTTTGCTGAGTTTCGGAATGATTTATCGAAAATTTGAATTTCTTCTCGCTTCACTGGCCTCACTGGTTAGTAAACTTATTCATTTATCAATTGTCAATGGATTGCTACTTTCACCGGTTGTCCGACTGGATTTCAGTGAGTACTGATGTCAGAAATCAGTCCCTATAAGGCTTCTTTCACCTTCCGAAGCCCTAACCTTGTGGTGTAGTGGATAAGAGTTTTGTCTCTAAAACGAGTCACCAGTCACTAATCGATGTACAATGGAAAAACGAGATTTCAATACTTCAGAGGTTTTCCGAAAAAGAAAGAGATTGAAAAATTTGACTTTCGTGTAGCTAAATACTGAAAAAGTAGCTGTTGAAGCGAACAAAACTTGTCTTTTCGTTGTACACCTATGAACAGTTCTATTGGTTAGTGGATTGGTAGGTCGAGGACTCTGTGACAGGCTTGATCAAGACTCTGAACAGGTTTATTAAGGTATAACCTGACAGACAATTGCTGGAGCAGGCTCTGAACAGACTTTGTCAAGTTTTGACTCAATATTGCTGACAAGGCTGGGTATTGGCTTGACTTTTCTATGAATTGACTGCACAAAAAATCAGTTTCAGAGCATCTCTAGATAGAATTTTCATTGATTTTTCTGCAAACTGGCAATTCTGGAAATATTTCTAGGGAATTCTGGTCCTATCGAAAGTCTTATTCTTCTTTATAACCCAATCTGTTCGTCATCAAAATTTTCTTTTAACTTATTTGCTCTTTGGTCTCTTTGATGCCTATCGATTCATCGTTACAAATAATGTAAGTTAAAGTTAATCAATTTTAGAATTATTAACTTACCGTAAATACTATAATAGTACCCCACCGCCCTCGTACAGTCGCGTAGTCGCAAAAGTTTTTTAGTATTTCATTTTTTTCAAAGCACTCGTACTTTCAAAAAATGCGTCTTTGGTATCAAAAAATAGCCCTGAATTTCAGCTATTTTTTGATACCAAAGCGAGCATTGTAGCATAAACCAGTGTCGAGAAAAACTCGTTCAAAGCTAGACTACGCAACACTCCGCAGCGTCATTATCTTTGGTATCAAAAAATAGCCGAAATTCAGGGCTATTTTTTGATATCTTAGCGAGCATTGTAGCATAAACCAGTGTCGAGAAAAACCTCGTTCAAAGCTAGACTACGCAACACTCCGCAGCGTCATTATGAGGGTGGGGTCCAATTACAGTATTTACGGTATGTAATTGTCTAGATATTGTAAAAGAAGCTATTTAGTTAATCAAATGTTTGCTAAAAATGGAGACAACGGTGACACAACGCAGTGTTTCTTCGAGAACAACGGTAAGTGCAGAGACGGAAAAGAAACACCAAAAGAAGTCAGGTAATTGTCTAGATATTATTCATTAAATTCAGTCACAAAACCCTATGCCAAACCTTGGTTCAACTGCATATGCAAATCGAGAGATGAAAGTGTTTGACGCTCGTCAATTGGCCGAGAAACTCGAAAGTCAGCTCGATGTATAAATTCTTGATTATAAATGGTTAAATAATGACTTCATTTTGCTATCTATAAAAGCAAATACAGTATATGCAATGGTAAATTTAATTAAGGATGATTTGAAAATGTAAATGTAATTAAGGATGATTGGAGAATGTAAATGTAAACAAATTTTGAAGTGAAGGCTTTCAGCCGTTTCAGCCAAGTGAAGGCTTTCAGCCGTTTCAGCCAAGTGAAGGCTTTCAGCCGTTTCAGCCAAGTGAAGGCTTTCAGCCGTTTCAGCCAAGTGAAGGCTTTCAGCCGTTTCAGCCAAGTGAAGGCTTTCAGCCGTTTCAGCCAAGTGAAGGCTTTCAGCCGTTTCAGCCAAGTGAAGGCTTTCAGCCGTTTCAGCCAAGTGAAGGCTTTCAGCCGTTTCAGCCAAGTGAAGGCTTTCAGCCGTTTCAGCCAAGTGAAGGCTTTCAGCTGTTTCAGCCAAGTGAAGGCTTTCAGCTGTTTCAGCCAAGTGAAGGCTTTCAGCCAAGTGAAGGCTTTCAGCCAAGTGAAGGCTTTCAGCCGATCGGATTGATCAAGTCCGTTTCCCTATCGATTTTCGAAGTTAAGTTGAAATAAGTTGAAGTTTCTTGCAGTTTAAGAAGTTTTTTTATCCCGAACAACCACTAAAAAAAATAAAGAAAAGGAAAAAAAGAGCCTGAGCCATAGATGAACAAAGAAAAGAACAACGAGAAAGAAAACCGTGAAGAAAACCATGAAGACAACAACGAGATTTACTGTACAAGAGTTCAAAAAAGAAAAGAGCGAATAGGGAATAGTCTATACAAAAATTATCATAAAACGTCGAAGATTTGATCTATTTTGTGGTGTCATTGTTGATTGCTTCAAATGTGTGACCATTCCATGGAGACCAATCCAATGATGTGGAGGGATTCTCACCTAGAAAAGTTATTAAATTAAATACCTTTTCTTTAGCCAAAAGTTACAGTATTTTTAAGGACAAGTTCTGAATTGATAAAGCTTTGAATAAGTTAAGTTTTCAGACAAAAGTATCAATGTTTTGTCTTACTACAGTACACCGAAACATTGAATATAAGAATTCAGCTTTTTTGATATCAAAATTTCACTAAAACTGGAGTAAATCGATAGTTAGATTGATATTTGTTATACAGTACTGGACAATGAAATATGATATTTAAAAACGATCGTCACTTTCGCGCGTCTGTAACTCCCTTGTCTTTACCGTATTTCTAAATATTAATATTTCCATTGTGTAGCCCTTGAAAAGAGCTTTCAGAAAATGTATAACACTAATAGTTTAAACTCAAAGACAAGGGAGTTACAGACGCGCGAAAGTGACGATCTTTTTTCAAATATCATATTTCATTTTCCAGTACTGTATGTACCAACGGTAAGAAGAATCTAAACCTAAATCTAATGTAAATCCGTTTGCTAGTAAGTACAGCACTGGACAATGAATTTATACTTTTGACAATATTTGAAAAAACGATCGTCACTTTCGCGTGTCTGTAACTCCCCTTGTCTTTGAGTTTAAACTATTAGTGTTATACATTTTCTGAAAGCTCTTTTCAAGGGCTACACAATGGAAATATTAATATTTAGAAATACGGTAAAGAAAAGGGAATTACAGACGCGCGAAAGTGACGATCTTTTTTCAAATATCATATTTCATTGTCCAGTAGTGTATCTTCAAAGCAAAACACTTTTTAACTCGATTAAATCAAAGATTTTGATTACTGAGCACAAGAAATTCAACTAAACGACAAGCAAAACGGAAAACAGATTCTATTCTAATCATTCTAATCAATCAAATCACCTGAAGAGTGATAAATGGGTCGTTCGAGAAGAAAATCCATTGTAGGGATTGGTAATTTAATCAAATCCCACGGCAAAAGACCAATCTAAATAAAGTCTAACAATTCTTTCAGGTTCTTGAATTTATAAAGATAAGTTATAAGTTGAAAACCTTACTTTGTCGATGGAGTGATCGATTCAGAAATCGGATTGAAATTAGATCCAGGACTTGACAAATGTTTCAATGATGAGAAATGACCATAAAACGAGCTGAAAAGACAAAAAAATGAAAGCTAACAATGAAAAAAACAATGAAAAACATACGATCTAATTCGATTCTCGTGTTTGATATGACTGTAGAACCAATCCTCTGTGAGTAGTGTGATAAAACCGCCTGTTTCAAGCTTTATCATACCCTTTGTTTCCTATAAAAAGAGAATTATTTGAAAACTAGTCGATAAATAGATTTGATTTGAGAAGATTTAAGCAATTTTTCAGTTTTATACAGTTCAATCCTCAAAGGGAAACTAGAAAATTGAACAATAGAGTACTTAGAGTACTTAGAGTACTTAGAGTACGTTTACTAGCTCGTCTATTAGTCGAAAGTGTCTAAAAAGTGAATCAAGTTTGTCAGTGCTTACAAAGGGTTTTTTTTAAAGTATTTCGAATTTCTCAAAAACATAATAAATGGGAAACCTTCTGCACGAGGTTCATAGAAGATTTGCTTTCAAAGATCACCCGACATGCCCAATCATTCTCGTGCTCGATCTGAAGTTAGAAATTGTTTCTTAATCTAAATCTAAAAAGCTACATACATTTACAATTCGTTTCTTGAAATGCTGAAGACTTTGATAGAGAAATTGCTTGTTCATTTGAGTATTTGGTGGGAAACAGGCCAACAAAAATGGAATCTTCGATGAACTCATCTAGAAATGGAAAAAAAAGTACATCAAAATGGTTAGAAAATTGAACAATAGAGTACTTAGAGTACTTAGAGTACGTTTACTAGCTCGTCTATTATTTGGTGGGAAACAGGCCAACAAAAATGGAATCTTCGATGAACTCATCTAGAAATGGAAAAAAAGTACATCAAAATGGTTAGAAAATTGAACAATAGAGTACTTAGAGTACTTAGAGTACGTTTACTAGCTCGTCTATTATTTGGTGGGAAACAGGCCAACAAAAATGGAATCTTCGATGAACTCATCTAGAAATGGAAAAAAGTACAGTCGAACCTCTCTATAACGAACCTCGATATAACGTAAACCTCTCTATAACGTAAGGCGTGACCGGTCCCGGCCGACGTTAAGCTATATAAAACGGCACTCTATATAACGTAAGCTATAGCCGTCCCGTGAGTTACGTTATAGAGAGGTTCGACTGTACGTCAAAATGGTTAGAGGTTTTGGCTTTTTAAAGTCATTAACTCTTAATCTCTAAGTCTTAATGAAAAAGGAAGATTAAAAGATCTACAGTCACTTTACAACATCTACAGTCACTAAAAGTAACTTTAATTTTAAACTATAAACTTTAAAAATCTAAGCTTACCTTTTAAAAATGCTGATCTTCAAGAAGCAAAAAAAGAGAAATAAAGATTGGTGAAGCGGTAGAGAAGGATTTTATTTTATTTTATTCAAATTTATACAATTTATGTTAAATGCTTTGTTTGATATGTAAATTTTAAATGTAAATTTTAAATTCTTAGCCATTCTTTTGGCCAAATTCATATTAAAATCGATTTTCTTAACATTCGCGACGAGGCGTTTTTTTTTTTTTTTGCGTTACTGCCCCAGTGGACGAGGGGTGTCTCGCGAAGCTATTAGCCCCCGAAATACACCTCCTATATGTAAAATTTCATACTGAATTCGAAACTCTAATCATATTTTGAAAATATTCCTCAAAAAGAACTAATCGAATCTTTTTACATTTTGAAACTATCTTAAAAAATTGAGAAGTTATAGCGCGTCAAAAATTTCGTCCACCGGTGGATCGAATCGTCCCAGGGGCCAGACGGCCTTCGTCCATCGGTCGACCGAATCATCCCAGAGGCCAGACGGCCTTCCACTGGTGGACCGAACCATCCCAGAGGCCAGACGGCCTTCCACCGGTGGACCGAACCATCCCAGAGGCCAGACGGCCTTCCACTGGTGGACCGAACCATCCCAGAGGCCAGACGGCCTTCCACCGGTGGACCGAACCATCCCGAACGTGTTTATCAATTTCATCTGAATAAATATATCTTTAAGTACTTTTCTCTACAAATTGTATGAGGAAAATGTTTTTCTCTTAATGTAAGAGCTGGGAAATGGTTTGGAAACGGGTTTAGAAAGTTTAGAAGTTCAATTTTACGGAATACAACCATTTTACGACATTCATTTCCTTTCTAATACTCTAATACTCTGGAAAAATAAATAATGAAAATTCTCAGGTGAATTTTGAAAATACTGACTATTCGTTAACTATTTTTTTTGATCTGTCTTCGCAATTAGGTGTTCCTATTTGCGTAGATCACAACCAGCTTCTCTATCTCTTGCTATTGTCATCCAGTGTTTCCTATCTTGGTTGTTCCTGGGCTTGCGCTGGTGGTGGTTGCACTCTAGCCATCCTTTCTCTGACCGTCTCTGCCACTCCTGTCCTCCAGTTGCTGGTCTTCCGATGGGCCTCTTCTGGTCTCGTGGTAGCCACTCTGTGATCCGTATCGTATCTGTATCGTCCATCTGTCGTCTGTTCTTCTGGTCACGTGGCCGGCCCATCTGTTCGTCGAACTATGTGAAAAGGAATATATCCGATGGCTTGGAGCTATGGTAAATGATGAGATTTTGTAGCTAAATTGTAATTCAGTTATTTTTTCACTAAACTACTCAAGTATGGTACTGAATTGTAATATTGATAAAAGACAAATCCGTCTTTTGGGTGTAATTGTGCTCAAAAAATGGAATCAAATTCTCTCTTTCTTTCTCAATTCTTTCTTTTTCATACAACAATGACTTAATTTTGTGAAGAAACATTAAAAATGATTTAAAAAAGCTTTAGTTTTTCCATCTTGTACTTATCGCTTAGACTTTGAATGACTTGCATCTCCTTAAACACACCATTTCGACAATTCGACTCAACATTGTGATGGGGATTGCATTGGCTTTGTCGACGTGAGTTTCAAGTTTATTATCATATTCATCTGATAAAGGATTTCCAGTAAGAACTCAATTGATCGCTTTCTGTACAGTTTTTTTGTTTCTAATTGCTTTTCTTGGCGTCATCATTGCGATTTTCGGAATCAAACACTCACAAATCAATCATTTCTTTACCATTTTGTGCATATTGGTTCGTGGATTTGTTTAATAGGAATTAAGATCGATTCTCAGTAAAACCAAAAACGAAAATACAGCCAAAATTGGGGCAAGAATTCGTCTTGCGCATAATGATGTCCAAGAAAATCTAGCCGGTTCCAAACAATCCAAAACAAAACAATCCAAAAAAAAATCTAGCCGGCTCAGTCACTTACCACGCTTTCCCTTTCCGAAACCCTCGAGACGCAAAGGGAAAGTCCCTTATGCCGTGGGTGTTTGCCAGATCGTGAGCGATTACGTGGCTGGACAAAGAACATCTCGCCAATCATTTATATTTTTTTTTGCTCTGTAAATGATATAAAAAGATATTTAGCTGTAAATTGGTGGGTTTTCGGAATCGATTGGAGCTATAAATTACTGTCTTTTCACTAAAAAACTTAAAACCGAATAACTGCCCTTTCCAGAGTAGCGTCTTGGAAATCAAACTTTTCATCGGCTTCATCCTCCTCGCCAATCACCATGTCAGCTCATATTTCACAAATGTCTCTACTCCATTCTTGGTGTTCTTTCTAAATGCTTTTGATATTTATTTTCTATATTTGATCAGAAATCATTTATTTACATTGGTAGATAGCCAGTTTTTTTTTTACTCAAAAGTTTTCCTCATCGATCAAGGATGGACTTGAGATTTCTTCATCATTGACAACCGAGAATTTTTGAGTCTTGAAAGTTTTCTAAGATATTAATTTTTTTTGACTCAAAATCTTTTCATTGCCTCGTCGATAGAGGATGGATTTTTTCACCATCGACAACAAGGATCACCGGGGAATTATGAGTATTGAAAGTCCATTTAAATTTTCTTGAAATTATTGAATTAATTTTGTTAAATACAACAATACTATTCGCAAGAATGTTGAGATTCAGCAAATTTCAATTTTTACAATAATATATAACATACTTATTCTAATAGTAGTGCACCCTGAAATAACGCCTAAATTCCTCGAAATCTCAAAAAGCGCTTATCAGAACCTATCGGTGTGGGGTCGGAAAATGTAGCTGACGATGAGATCTTGTGGGGATTTGAGTATCGAGCCTCTGCAAAAGCTTGGAAACCGTCAAATAGTCATCAACTCGGCTCGCTGGGGTGCACTACTATTAGAGAGAATCCGGTATGTAAAATTTCAGAAAAACCAGATAAAACTAAAGTTAGATCGCTGGTTTGATCTCTGGATTTCCACAGAAACATGCAAATGCAAAGCAAAATGACATGCAGCATGTAACAGAAACAGAAACAGAAATTACCGGATTCTCTCTAATAGTAGTGCGCCCTTTGCCTAAATGCCTCGAAATCTCAAAAACCGCTTATCAGAACCTATCGATGTGGGGTCGGGAAATGTAGCTGACGATGAGATCTAGTGGGTGATTTGAGTGTTGAGCTTCTGAGAAAGCTTTGGAAGCCGTAAAATAGTCATCAACTCGGCTCGATGCTGTGCACTATTAATAGGTAATAATTTTATATGTTATTGTAAATAATAAATGTAAAATTATTAGATTTCTATAGCTATTTCTCTCATAATAAAGCTGTAATTTTATATAAAAACTAAAGATTTATATAAAATCCTTTTTTTAAATCTGTCAACTTTTTTGAAAGCCACTTCAATTAAGAAAAACCCATCTCATCTTTTGTTTATGATTATTTGAGAATAAAAATACTAATAGATTGGATTATGGTAAGTTTAAAAATCAGATTACAACAGTTTCAAAAAAATTTGGCATATTTTAAGAAAAAAGCCAAGAGAGAACATGAAATTTTAGGTGTATTTTGAGTTTTCTAAAAACTAGGACATAAAATTCGACCCAATGATGAGAGGCTATTGGATAAAAACAAGAAAAAAAAGAGGAATTAATGAATGGTTGTGTTGTTTTTCGCTTTTCCCCATCTTGTCACATTGAAGTGGGGCCCTTCATGGGACAAACGAGGGCCCCCGAACAGCGCAACGCATCCGCATCTCTCCTCCTTTCAGCTCCTTCATCTCCTCCTCTCTTCAGTTTTTTGCTTTGTTCTCCATGGCTCCGAGATTGTGAAATTTCTTTCAAAATATATACTTTTATCTTTAAATTTCTATCATTAACTGAAACTAATCAAATTTTTTCGCAAAAAAGTTTGGAAGAAATTTTTAAATTCTTTGTTTCTTTCTTTATTGCTTTTTCTTAATTAAAATAAAAATAGAATGAAAAGGCAATCTCTGTAAATCTATGGGATTTTTTTTTTGATCTGTCTTCGCATTCAGGTGTTCCTATTCCTATAGATCACAACCAGCTTCTCTATCCCTTGCTATTGTTATCCAGTGTTTCCTATCTTGGTTGTTCCTGGTTCGAAGTCTTCGACTTGCTTGTGCTGGTGGTGGTTGCACTCTAGCCATCCTTTCTCTGACCGTCTCTGCTACTCCTGTCCTCCAGTTGCTGGTCTTCCGATGGGCCTCTTCTGGTCTCGTGGTAGCCACTCTGTGATCCGTATCGTTCATCCGTCGTCTGTTCTTCTGGCTACGTGGCCAGCCCATCTGAGTCTTTTTCTCTCAACCACTTCCACTGGATCTCTGAGTCCGGAGAGCTGGCGCATATCCGTACAATCTATGGGATATAAAATGAAATCAATATTGACTTTTGAACATTTACCAAATCAGTAAGTGATATAGTTTTTTAGTAAATAGAAAATAAATCAAAAAAAAAAAACGGCTCTAACTTATCAAAAATTTGAAACCCTTTATTTACTCAAGTTTTCAAGTTTTAGTGATGTCTTTTGATGGCTTTATAATTAAAAACGAATAACATATTTGGATTTCTCACCTTCAAAACTCTAGATAAAAATGTTTAGCCCTAGAACTAGCTCAAAAAATGGGTGATCGAACATTTGGTACGCGCCCCAACGCTTTTCCCATTGGCAATCTAACTTTGAGCTCAAATTTCTTGGTGTTAGGCTGTTCAATTTAAATACTTTTGGTATCATTAGATTCGCCAAGTCTTTCTCTATCGATTAGTATCAAAACTATTTCAATTAAAGAGCCAAATAAGAAGATATTCAAGTTTAAAGTTGGATCGCCAATATCAAATGTTCCATAATCCAAAAATGAACTAGCTCACGAATAAGTTAATCGTTCTAGAAAAGGGAAATTTTGGGAACAATTGGAGTTCTTGTAAATTTCCCTGTGCAATTCAGCGTTTGTTTCTAAATGATGTGATGGGAATGATCGTACAAATTCCCTCCAAAGAGGGGACTGTTTATGTGGAAGGCTCATCTGTTCTCCATTTCCTGTTCTGTTCTCTAGATTCTTTGTGTTTCTTTCTCAATCTCTCCATTAAATGTCAATCTCTTTGTTTTCTCTCTGGTCACATTCAAATCGATTTTCATAATCAAATTTCTGAAATCTGAATCTGAATAAATATATCTTTAAGTATTTTTCTCTACAAATTGTATGAGGAAAATGTTTTTGTATAAAAACCAATGTGAAATCTCAATGTGAGAGCTGGGAAATGGTTTGGAAACGGGTTTAGAAGTTTAGAAGTTCAATTTTACGGAACACAATCATTTTACGACTTTCATTTCCTTTCTAATACTCTGGAAATCAGAGTTGGGAAATGGTTTGTAAATGTGGAAGGCTCATCTGTTCTCCATTTCCTATTCTCTAGATTCTTTGTCTTTCTTTCGGAATCTCTCCATTAAATGTCAATCTCTTTGTTTTCTCTGATCTCTCATCCGATCTTCTATCCCTTTCGAACCTCTCCAGGCCACTGCATTCCTTCGTAGTTTGTCGCCGTTCCCACTCAACTCTTCCCTCAACATTCAAATATTCACAAGGGAAAATGATATTGTTTTGACAAAAAAGTACCTAATTTTTAAAAATATTTAATCATTTTTCATATCTTTGCTTTGTAATCTGATTTGTAAGCTGATTTCTCAACAATTTTTGCTTACAAACTAATTTTTTATGACTATTTTGCTGTTTTTTTTTGTTTGTTTGTTGTTATTTTTCTTATTTTGTTAATTAATTTGATTGTTAATTTGTTATTTTGCTAGGTTTTCATTGCAAAAATCAAATCTCTTAAATAAATAACTTAAAATAAAGTATTTTTTAGCTTAGTTTATTGTTTAAAGTAAAGATTTTAGAATTCTTTTACCTCTTACTACTTTAAGAATTGATTTTCTCTTTTCTAGAGCTTCAATTGAGCAAGAAATTTTGGTTCTCAATGGATTAAGGACTAAAAGTAAGGAAAATTTTCTGACAAAATACTTTCTTAAGCATTTAGATGAGCGATTAGAATCATAATAGAGTATTTTTGCTTTTTATTATTGTTATTCTATTGTTTTTTTTGATCGAATTCCTCTTTCCATTCGCCTCTTTCAACCTTATCTCATCTTAATCATTTCTTAAGCATTTGGATGAACGATTTGAATCATAATATAGCATTTTTGCTTTTTATTATTGTTCTTATTGTTATTATTGTTATTCGATTGTTTTTTATTCGAATTCCTGCTCTTTCCATTCCCCTCTTTCAACCTTATCTCATATTAATCATTTCTTAAGCATTTAGATGAGCGACTTGAATCATAATAGAGCATTTTACTTTTTATTATTGTTATTCTATTGTTTTTTTGATCGAATTCCTCTTTCCATTCCCCTCTTTCAACCTTATCTCATCTTAATCATTTCTTAAGCATTTGGATGAACGATTTGAATCATAATATAGCATTTTTGCTTTTTATTTTTGTTTGATTGTTATTCGATTGTTTTTTGATCGAATCGCTGCTCGTTCCATTCGCCCCTTTCAACCTTATCTCATCTTAATCATTTCTTAAGCATTTAGATGAACGATTTGAATCATAACATAGCATTTTTGATTGTTATTATTGTTATTATTGTTATTAATGTTATTCTATTATTTTTTGATCGAACTCCTCTTTCCATTCGCCTCTTTCAACCTTATCTCATCTTAATCATCAAAACGCCGAAAAAAGAAATGAATTCTCTCTTTTCTCTCAAATAAAATAACAAAATGAATGAAGAATCCATTTTTTCAATCAATATTTTAGTTTTTCTTCTTCGCTTGACCTCTTTTTGCACAAAATCACTCAATATTCTTATCAGTTTAAACGCTATAAAATCCCGTGTTTTGTGCACAAGTTTATAAAACTTTTCGCATGTTTTTGGATACTTGTGCATCTTTCCCACCAAGTTTATATGCATATTAGTCTTCTTGTAAACGAGCATCTTGGCCTCTAGTGGCATCTAGTGGCCTCTAGTAGCCTCTAGTGGCCTCTAGTGGCCTCTAGTAGCCTCTAGTGGCATCTAGTAGCCTCTAGTAGCCTCTAGTGACCTCTAGTGGCCTCTAGTGGTCTTGAGTTACCCGATCAACGAACTCATGTATTAAATATGTGATTTTTAAATTTTAAAGTAAAATGGGAAAGGTGCAAGTGTACAATTTCCATTCTTACTACTTTAAGAATTGATTTTCTCTTTTCTAGAGCTTCATTGAGCAAGAATTTTTGGTTTTAAATGAAGTAAGGACTATAAGTAAGGGAATTTTTCTGACAAAATACTTTCTTAAGCATTTAGATGAGTGATTAGAATCATAATCATAATGGGAAAGATGTACAAATATTAAAGATTATTTTCTAATTTATCAAATTAATATACTTAGATTTTAAAGCATTCAAGACCTTTAAAAGCTTAACAGAATCTTTGCTTATTGTTTTCAATAGCTTATTGTTTTCAATAGCTTATTGTTTTCAATAGCTTATTGTTTTCAATAGCTTTTTAGTAATCTTTTGCATAAGAATCAAATTTTAGGGTATGGATGAAGATGTGGCGGAGACGTCGTTTCTTCGAATCGATGATGCAAACGATGATGAAGTCTATCCGTCACCAGCTAAAAAGTAAGATTAAGTTTTAATCAAGTTAAATATTATATTGATTTTATGAGAAAGGAATCAAGTTTAAAAGAAGAAGTTTAAACGATAAAGAGAAAGAAGAGGAGTAGTGCTGTTTAGGGTTGTTTTTAAGCTGCAATCAGAGCCAAGATTGGTTCTTGGTCTTGGCTTTGTTATGGATTGAAATATTTTTTCTGAAAACATTAACAATATAGAAGGCAAGCTTGGCTTTCAGATAGCAATTTTCTTAGTTTCCTTACTCAAATCTGACTCAAAGCTGGCTGAATCAGACTCAAAGCTGACTCAAATCTGATCCAAATCTGGCCTAAATCAGACTCAAATCTGACTCAAAGCTGGCCTAAATCAGACTCAAATCTGACTCAAAGCTGGCCTAAATCAGACTCAAAGCTGACTCAAATCTGGCCCAAATCTGATCCAAAGCTGACTCAAATCTGGCCTAAATCCGACTCAAATCAGACTCAAATCTGCCCCATTACAACTAAAATCTTCTAAATACCTAACAGTTCACGATAAAACTCAAGTTCAATATTTGAAAGTCTTGAAAGTTTTTTCATTCATTGCTCATTCTCCATTTCCCCTTATCAGGTGAAAATTAGCTGATCGAACTCTCCGAAAAGCTTGAAACGAAAAAAAACCTCAATCAAAACAAGACAAAGTATTTCGAAAGTGAAGTTGTTAGCTTGAAATCCAATTTTTACATCACCTGTCGGGAGCTCTTATCTTTTCAAAAGTTGTATTGGGGAAAAGGTCTTGTTCTTTTTGGCATTTCTTTTTTTCTGAACTCATATCAGATCCGTACAAGACACAAGCCCCTTATTTTCACACGCCATTCTACCCGTCTGATTTTTTTGATACATTGATTTATGAGTTTCAATCATTTTAGATAATCTTTCCTAATCTAAAAGTTAAATGCTAATTTTTATGATCTGATGAGTCAACAGCACTCTATTAATATTAAAATTTATATTACTAGCTCTCTAAGTAAACCAAAATTCATTTAAAAGTCAATACTTGTAGATTTCTGTCTAATATTTGTTATGTATTCGTTCCAGATTTGTCTAAACTAATTCTAAATTTGTTTTCCAACTTTGAACTCACTTTTTTAACATCTTGAAAGCCTTTTTTGACAAAGCCAATGATTGCTTATATTTAAATTTTAGATCTCATCGAAGCATGAGCAATTCGTCATGGGATCCAGCTTTACGATATGAAGATGGGAAGAAACCCACCAAAACCCCAGCCAGATACGCGACAGCATTACGGAATGCGGTTCCAGTTAGAACTGAGAAGTGGGAAAAGATTTGATTCAAACTGATTCATTGAAATCTACATTTAACAATAAGTTGGAACTATGGAAGATCAAAAAATCTACAGGGAGTCGAACCTGAAAGCTTTCGCTTACCAGGCAACTGTACTAACCAAAAATGCGTCGGGACTCGAACCCGCAACCTTTCGCTTACCAGGCAACTGTACTAACCAATTGGTCATGGGATCCAGCTTTACGATATAAGGATGGGAAGAAACCCACCAAAACCCCAGCCAGATACCCGACAGCATTACGGAATGCGGTTCCAGTTAGAACTGAGAAGTAGGACAATTCAAAATGATTCATTGAAAGATGCTTAACAATAAGTTGGAACTATGGAAGTAGTTTTTGGAACTATGGAAGTAGTATTGGAACAAAAACTGTGCCGGGAGTCGAACCCGAAACCTTTCCCTTACCAGGCAACTGTGCTAACAATTATACGAAGCATCGCAAAGCATTTGATCTCCTTTACTCTAGAAGGAGTTAAGGTTAAAGATAATTACTTTCAGAGGCGCTAAAGGTTGCGCAAAAATCGATCAAGCCGGCCTCTTCTCTTTCGTCACTTATGGCTGGGTGTTCGAGTATTTGTTGCAAGCATTTAAAGGTTTAAAAACAAAGATCAAAAGCACTATCATTATTCTTTAGGCAATTTATCTGACAATGCTTGGACATGTTCAATATTTGATGGAGCTAATGCAAATCTAGCTAGAATGGAGCTTTTATGGAATGAGGAAATAACAACGAATAAGAATGATCCAAAATTGTGGAAGGTATCAGGAAAAACTTAAAGAATCAAAATTCTTAAGCTTAATCTTAAGAAATGATTTCCAGGTAGTGTATCGATTTATGAAAACGCGACTCTGGTTTTCCTGTGCCATCTTCACATTTTGTTTAGTTTTTGGATTCATTGGTGAGCTGGATGAGATAAATATTACCTTTATTAATCAGATAATCTCTACAATTCAATCGACTCACTTTTCAGGACCAACTTGTTTCGTTCGTGGACTTGTTGCCTTTGCTGAGAAACCATTAAACGACAACAGTGATCAAATCGATTATGGGTAATTGAATACGATAAATATTAAGCAAAAATTTCAAGATTTGGCATTATTCTCGCTTTTTCTATTCTTGCTGTCGAATTCGCGCGAGTGCTAGCTTATGGAGCGACTTGGGCTGTCTCCTATCGAACGGGGATTCGTGTACGATCAGCTGTACTTGGACTTCTCTTCAAGAAACTTATCAACTCAAAGACCACACAGAATAATAAAGCTGCTGAGGTAGAATTTTTGTAAAGAAATTCAGCTGAAAACTAGTAGATTGAGAAGGAAATTCGTAGAAAATGTTTGCACAGTGATTTCTCAAAAACCAAGCCATAAATGCTGACAATAGAAAGGCAACAGTGGGATGTGACCAAATGAGATCAGCCATAAACCATTTGCCATAGAATTTAAAGCTGATTCTGAATCTGCTTTCTGTTTTTTGCGAAACAGATTTCTATAAAAAGTTATAAGTTTATGTTTTTGAGCGAAAATGCGAAAATTTCGAGCCGAATAGGGATTAGAGTGTTGAGCTTATGCAAGAGCTTGGAAACCGTAAAATAGTCACCAACTCGGCTCGCTGGGGTGCACTATTATTAGAGAAAGACGGTATAATATTAACTATGACTAGAGGAAAAGGCACAAAATTCTCTAGAAATACCGGGGGATCAAAAAAAGGAAGCTCATCAATGATAAAGTGGCAATGGATGAGATCATGCAAATCATGTTTATTCATGAGATCACTCTATAGAACGATTGGAACCGTATTGGAAACTAACCTATAATTGTAATCTAACAGTTGAAAAAAATCAGACTAATTGGCAATAAAAATCACGGTTCCAATACGGTTCCAATATGGTTTCAATATCGTTCCAAACCGTACTGGAACCATATTGGAACCGTATTGGAACCATATTGGAACCATATTGGAACCGTATTGGAACCATATTGGAACCGTATTGGAACCGTACTGGAACCATATTGGAACCGTATTGGAACCATATTGGAACCGTATTGGAACCGTATTGGAACCGTATTGGAACCATATTGGAACCGTATTCATGGGTGCAAGGAAAACATGGACCCATATTAGAACTTAATTGGAACCGTATTGGAACCGTATTGGAACCTAACCTACAGTAGCGGACAAAGACTTAGCATAATTTAGTGTTTTTGTAATAAAACTCACTGTTTGTGCAATATTTACCTAAAACTTCGAAATATAATAATAAAACTTGATGTTTTAACAAAAACAATTGGTATTTAGCCAAATAGACTTTCAGAAAAAAATTTTGAAGATTTTTATACAAAACTGGTGCGACAAAGACTTAGCATATTTTTAATAACATATTAACTAAAGCTGGTAACAAATGTTTTTTAAATCAAAACAACAAAATTCGTTTTTAACAATTAATACTTCGTAGGAAAACCATTCGAGGCGATGACAGCATCACATCTGCGAGGCATGGACTCGATAAGTTCATCGATCGTCTTTTTTGGAATCTCCGACCACTTCTTGGCTAAGAGATCAAATTTATCCTGAGCATTTTGAGTTCTAATCCCTTTGCAGATTCTTCCCAGCGTTTCCCACAAATGCTCAATAGGATTCAGGTCGGGGCTTTGGTTTGGCCACTCCATAACGGCAAAGTTTTGTTGCGACAGCCAGTTTTGAACGAGTCGAGCCTTGTGTTTTGGATCGTTATCATGCTGAAAAGTGAAATTTGGAGGCATAGTTTGAACTGCATTTGGAAGCATATGGCTTGTCAAAATGTTCAAGTAAACTCGTTGATCCATAATCCCAGTGATTCGCTTGAGTGGTAGAGTTCCATAAGAAGAGAAGCCACCCCATACGAGAACGTTTCCGCCGCCATGTTTGACTGTAGGGAGAATGTAGTTTTTATTGTATCTTTGGTTAACTGGACGTCGAATATACTGAATTCCATCAGAATCAAGTAGGGAAAACTTGCTTTCATCAGTGAACAAGCAATCTTTCCATTGCTGAAGAGTCCACCCCTGATGCTCCTTAGCAAACTTCACTCGGGCTTTCCGATTTTTTGCTGAAATCAATGGTTTCTTGGCAGGGCGTCTCCCAAATAGTCCTTTAGCGTTTAGACGACGTTGCACCGTTCGCGGAGTGATCTTATCTATCAAAGAAGCTGGTAAATCTTTGTAGATCTCAGTTGCAGGCTTCTGAGGATTGCTTTTTGATAAGGTTTGAATCCTGTTATCATCTCGAGTAGTTGTTTTCCGTGAAACACCAACATTCTTTTTTGCAATTGTGCTTCCTTTTGTCTTGAAAAGCTTCAAAATTCTCGAAACAGTCGACTGGTGCACCCTCAGAATGGTAGCAATTCGATCCTGTCTCTCACCGGCTTGATGAAGAGCCACAATCGTATCCCGAATAGCAGGCTGGAGTTGTTTCTTGCGACCCATTGACTTAAATTAATAAAATAATAAATTTCAATCAAATTATAGCTCAAATTAAGAAAGAAAACACAGAAAAATAATCAAAACTACTGGGAAGTGCAAAATTATGCTAAGTCTTTGTCGCACCAGTTTTGTATAAAAATCTTCAAAATTTTTTTCTGAAAGTCTATTTGGCTAAATACCAATTGTTTTTGTTAAAACATCAAGTTTTATTATTATATTTCGAAGTTTTAGGTAAATATTGCACAAACAGTGAGTTTTATTACAAAAAAACTAAATTATGCTAAGTCTTTGTCCGCTACTGTATAATTAATCTAACAGTTGAAAAAAATCAGACTAATTGTCAATCAAAATCAAAATTTCATTTCCAAGAACATTTTCCATTACAACACTCCTGTTTAAAGATTAAATTTAATCGTGGAAAGTAGCATAATGGACAAATTGAGAACTAACCATAAATCTTGTTGAACTTGACAAAATTCAGATCATCAACCTTTTCGCCAACGATGGTCAACGTTTATTTGACGCAGTCACTTTTATGCCATTAGTGCTAGTCGGTCCATTTGTGTTAGTTGGAGGTAAGAAATTGTCTAGAAACAGATTTGAATTGAAATGAATTGAATTCCAGGTATTATTTACCTTCTCATTGTCATTGGTCCATGGTCTCTCACCGGTATTTTCATCTTTTTCTTCTTTGATGTTGTACAGGTTTGAAAATTTGAGAGAAGATAAAGAAAATCGTTTTTTTTTAAGTATTTTCTTGGAATGACAATGGTGAGATGCCGTGAAAGAGCGATCAAAAAAACTGAGAATCGGGTAAGAATGGCGGGCTTAAAAGCTAAACAGCTTGAAAGCTAAACAGATTAACAGCTTAAAAGCTAAACAGCTTAAAAGCTAAACAGCTTAAAAGCTAAACAGCTTAAAAGCTAAACACATCAATTTCAATGCATCATGAGATCAAGAGATGCTATTAAGAACTTATTTAAATAATCTTTTAAACTTCAGGTGACTCTAATGGGAGAAATTGTGCATCATATTCGTTTGATTAAGATGAACGCGTGGGAGGAGAATTTCATTGATCGAGTGGAAAGTGAGTGAGCTAGTGAATTTCAAGGCTGACTCTAGCATGGCTTTTTTTAAGCCTTAGCCTTGTAAGTAAGCCTTGTAAGCTAACTAGAGCCAGCCGACCATTTTTGTTCAAAAGCTCTCTATTTAAAACCACTTTAAACATGAATTTCAGAGATGAGACACGACGAGAAAGTTGATTTGAGAACAGCTGGCTATGCTCAATCTTTGGCAATCGCTTGTGGACCAGTTGTACCCGTTGTGGCTGCTCTTCTAACCTTTTTAGGAGTTGTTTTATCAGGTAATTTTGATTTGATTTTAATCAACTAGAAATGATTACTTGAGAAAACTAATACAAAGACAAAATACTCAAATTCTAGTAGGATTACCGTATTTCTTCGAATAGAAGGCCGGGCAAAGAGTATCATCGCGTACTCCTGTGTAGCAGCCCTTTTTAAAATGTCTTTTCTGCATAAAATCTTTCAATGAAGTGCTATAGAGCTGGAAAATGACTCAAAAATACCATATGAGCTAACAGATTTTTGAGTCATTTTCCAGCTCTATAGCACTTGATTGAAAGCTTTTATGCAGAAAAGAAATTTTAAAAAGGGCTGCTACGCAGGAGTACGCGATGATACTCTTTACCCGGCCTTCTATTCGAAGAAATACGGTATCTATTTATCTATCAAACAGGAAACGATCTGATGGCCAGCGATGCTTTCAGCGCAATCACCGTCTTTTTCGTGATGCTTTTTGGAATTCGAATGATTCCATACGGTAGCAGGTGAGTTCTCTTTCCTATTTCTTCTTGGCTAAACACCGATAGCTCACTGGTAAAGCATCTAGCAAAAGGTAGGGAGAAGATCGAGGCTTCAATTCCTCTGCTCGATCTTCTTTGCTTTTTTTTACTTTATTATAACCGGCTACAGCTATTAGTATCTAAATCTTGTCTAAATTTTCTAATTTCGGTTATTAATACACTTCAGATACTTCGTATAGGAATTTGAATTGTAGGAAGTATAGGAAAGTATAGGAAAGTCTAAGGAAAGTATAGGAAAGTATAGGAAAGTATAGGAATTGAACCCTCGATCTTCTTTGCCACTTTTTTTACTTGGTTATAACCAACTACAGATATTACTACATAAAGCTTGTCTAAATTTTCGAATTTCGGTTATTAATACACTTCAGATACTTCGTATAGGAATTGGAATTGTAGGAAGTATAGAAATTGTATAGGAAAGTATAGGAAAGTCTAAGGAAAGTATAGGAATTCTCTTTCCTATTTCTTCTTGGGTAAACAAGGCACCGATAGCTCACTGGTAAAGCATCTAGCAAAAGGTAAGCAGAAGATGGAGGGTTCAATTCGTCCGCTCGATCTTCTTTACTTTTTTTTTACTTTATTATAACCGGCTACAGATATTACTATATAAATCTTGTCTAAATTTTCTAATTTCGATTATTAATACGCTTCAGATACTTCGTATAGGAATTAGAATTGTAGGAAGTATAGAAATTGTATAGGAAAGTATAAAGAAAGTATAGGAAAGTATAAGGAAAGTATAGAAATTGAACTCTCGATCTTCTTCCTCATTTTTTACTTTATTATAACCAGCTACAGCTATTACTATATAAATATTGTCTAAATTTTCTAATTTCAGTTATTAATACACTTCAGATACTTGGCTGAAGCGGTTGTCGCTTTACGAAGAATCGGCGCTTTGTTGCAAACAGAAAAATGGGATAATTCCGTCGCGCAATGCAGTAATCCCGATTTGGCTGTTGTTTTTAAAGTAAATGAAATTTAAAATAGTATTTATTAGAGATTTCTAGAACGCCAATCTCAACTGGGCATCGAATTTGGTGATCGAAACAGGGAAAAGACCAGTTAAACAACAAGAAACAGAACCAATCTCCATAAAACGAGATCAATTCACTCTACAAAACATCAATTTATCAATAAAAAAGGTAACAATAGATAAAGTTATTCATTTTCTTTTAAAAAATCTTAAGTTTTTAATCATATTATTGAATTTTGTAGCGTGAACTCGTTGGCATTTGTGGTGGAGTTGGGAGTGGAAAGTCAGCTTTGTTGACAAGTATTATTGGACATGTGAGTTTCAGTTTTTGATTCAAATCAATAAATACTATACTATGTTATATATATACTATACTAACCAATAAATACTATACTATACTTGTTCAAAACAAGTTACCGTAAATACTGTAATAGTACCCCACCTCCATAATGACGGTGCGGAGTGTTGTGTGGTCTAGCTTTGAACGAGTTTTTCTCGACACTGGTTTATGCTACAATGCGCGCTTAGGTATCAAAAGATAGCCCTGAATTTCAGGGCTATTTTTTTGATACCTAAGAGCGCATTCTAGCATAAACCAGTGTCGAGAAACACTCGTTCAAAGCTAGACCACGCAACACTCCGCACCGTCATTAGGGGGGTGGGGTACTATTACAGTATTTACGGTAATACAATTCTAAACTTGTAAATAGAAAGATTAGAATCTAGAGAATCCTTTGTTCAAGCCTTGAAAGCTCTTCTAACTACAACTAAAAAGATTTAACAACTTTCTAACTACTTCTCTTAGCATCAATTTACAATTTTATTCACAATTTACAATTCTAGATGCACTTTGAGAAAGGTGATTTGGAATTAGGCGGCTCTGTCGCTTATGTTTCACAAAGTGCATGGATTCAAAATGCGACTTTTCAAGAAAATATTCTTTTTGGTTTGGAAATGAATGAAAATCGATATTTCAAAGTAAGTGATAAAGAAAATACTAGAATTCTAACTTTTTTTTAGGCTATCGATGCCTCACAACTTCGAAGAGATCTAGCAACGATGCCGGCTGGGGAACACACTGAGGTGAGTACAGCTTTAAAGAATTATTTGAATGCAAGATTGGATTTAGATCGGTGAACGAGGAGCTACACTATCTGGTGGGCAAAAAGCTAGAGTCTCCTTTGCAAGAGCTTTATTCGCAAATCGGGATATTTACTTGTTGGATGATGTGCTGGCATCAGTTGATAAAAATGTGAGTTTACTTTGACTTTGATTTTACCTTGAGTAAAAGAATTTCTGACAAATTTGGATACAAGCATTGCAATACAAAACAGTAAATAACTTTGAATGAAAGTTTGAGCTTTTGAATTTACAATACTTAGATCTTTGTTATATACCGTATTTTCTCTAATAGTAGTGCACCCCGGCGAGCCGAGTTGGTGACTATTTTACGGTTTCTGAGTTTTCACAGAAGCTCAACACCCAAATCCTCCACTAGATCTCATCGTCAGCTACATTTTCCGACCCCACATCAATAGGTTCTCATAAGCGGTTCTCGAGATTTCGAGGAATTTAGGCGAGCTTAGACTTAGGCTTAGGTCCAGGCTCAGGCTCAGGCTTGAAAATCAATGCACTATCCATCAATAAAAACTTCGAAAGAACAACGAACCATTGTTTGCTAAAGTGTATACTTTTCTGTCTTGGTACTGTAGCAAGATTTCAGCTACCGTATTCCCTCTAATAGTAGTGCACCCCGGCGAGCCGAGTTGATGACTATTTTACGGTTTCTGAGTTTTGACAGAAGCTCAACACTCAAATCCCCCAGTAGATCTCATCGTCAGCTACATTTTCCGACCCCACATCGATAGGCTCTGATAAGCGGTTCTCGAGATTTCGAGGAATTTAGGCGACGCTCAGATATTGAAAGCTCTACAATATCTACAAAGTCTAGAAAACTCAAATCTATCTTTATCTTTGTCAAATCATATGTAGAGCTATACTCAAATACCGTATTCTCTCTAATAGTAGTTCACCACCGAGTTGGTGACTATTTTACGGTTTCCAATTTTTCCCAGAAGCTCAACACTCAAATCCCCTACAAGATCTCATTGCCAGCTCCATTTTCCGACCCCAAATCGATAGGTTCTCATAAGCAGTTTGCGAGATTTCGTGGAATTTAGGCAACGCTCAGGGTGCATTACTATTAGAGAGAACACGGTATCTAAAGTTTCTTTGAAGGTTAAAGTTTCTTCTTAAAGTAGTTGACAAGTATTATTGGACATTTAAGTTTAAGTATTTGATTCAAATCAATAAATACTACAATTTAATGTTCAAAACAAGTCAATACAATTCTAAACTTGTAAAAAAATCTTTGCTATTTTAGTTTACAATCAATTTTAGGTAGCTGATCGAATCTTCAACCATGCTATTCTCGAATATCTTAAAAATAAAACCATTCTTATGGTGACAAGAGATGTAAAAAGATTAGAGAAATGTGATCGAGTGATTTTCTTGGAGAATGGGCAAATTGTTGGTGATGATAAGCATGAAATACTGATAAAAGCATGTGATGCATATCGGGAATTCTGCGAGATTTCAAAGCATAACGGTTTGCAAAGATATTTTAGCTTATTTAGCTTATTTATTATAGAATAGTAGGCTTTTTTTTAAAAGGTGTATTTCTATTTTAAATCCAGAAATGGTATGTTTAACTATAAACTATAAGATTTTAAGCTCCATTGGTGTCAGCTCACGATGAGTATGTGGAAGAGAAAGATGATGGGACTTTAATCATTCATGAGAGGTCATCAACTTCAACCACATCTCCAACGAGGTCACAATCGAGATCTGTTGTGCACAAAGATCATGATTCAAGTTTGTTTTCTAGTATTTTTAAATATATCGTAAATACTGTAATAGTACCCCATCCCCATAATGACGGTGGGGAGTGTTGCGTAGTCTAGCTTTGAACGAGTTTTTCTCGAAACTGGTTTATGCTACAATGCACGCTTAGGTATCAAAAAATAGCTGAAATTTAGGGCTATTTTTTGATACCAAAGACGGTTTTTTTGATACCAAAGATAATGACGGTGCGGAGCGTTGCGTGGTCTAGCTTTGAACGCGTTTTTCTCGACACTGGTTTATGCTACAATGCGGACTTAGTTATCAAAAAATAGCCCTGAATTTCAGCTATTTTTTGATACCAAAGACGCATTTTTTGAAAGTACGGGTGCTTTGCAAAAAATGAAATACTAAAAAACTTTTGCGACTACGCGACTTTACGAGGGGGGTGGGGTACTATTACAGTATTTACGGTAGTTATAGTCAAGTCAATAAGGCTAATTTGTTAATGAAATACAGTACTGGACAATGAAATATGATATTTGAAAAACGATCGTCACTTTCGCGCGTCTGTAACTCCCTTGTCTTTGAGTTTGTCTTTAGTTTGTCCTTTGAGTTAAACTATTAGTGTTATACATTTTTCGAAAGCTCTTTTCAAGGGCTACACAATGGTAATATTAATATTTAGAAATACAGCAAAGACAAGGGAGTTACAGACGCGCGAAAGTGACGATCGTTTTTCAAATATCATATTTCATTGTCCAGTACTGTACTTATTTATTTTCATTTTAGCAAAAGTTGTTCAAGACGAAGAGGATCTTGGGCTAGCCGCAATGTCGTGGAATATTTATAAGTAAGGATTAAAGAAATTGGTTTAAAGAAACTGTTTAAGCTAACAATATTCTAGAGGCTACGTGAAAGCAGCTGGTTCTTTCCTTGTTTGGGCCGTTCTCATATTCTCTTTCATTCTCAACGTCGTCGCAACTCTTTTCGCTACATATTGGTTAAGTAGATGGTTGAAGAAAGGACATGGAGAAGAAGTTGGTTTCATTTTATGAAGAGATAGCTTGTATTTTGCTCTTAGCTTGTGCACGAGAATGGAACTGAAGTGTTGCGGGGTCATACATCAATGGCTGACTCGCCAGACACTTCCTTTTATGCAACTGTTTACGCAATCTCTTTGGTGATTCTCGCAGTCTCAGGATTGTTTAAAGCGTGGATGTTTGTAAAGGTTGGGGAATTTTTGTTTATCAACAAATATTATTAAAAGTTAACATCAAAAACAATATCATTATAGAATAGTCGGCTTGTTTTAAAGGTGTATTTCTATTTTAAATCCAAAAATCCTATGTTTAACTATCAATTATAAGATTTGTAATGATAAAAAGTTTAAGAAAATTTGAAACTCTAATGAAATTGTTTAAAAAAAATATTTTAGGTTTCTCTAAACGCCGCTTCTCGTCTTCACAACAATATGTTTAAAGGTAGATTTTTGATTCAATAAATATTCAATGTGATTCAATAATTCAATAGATAGAATAGATAACAATTGCGGTAAATACTGAAATAATACCCCGCCCCCATAATGACGGTGCGGAGCGTTGCGTAGTCTAGCTTTGGACGCGTTTTTCTCGACACTGATTTATGCTACAAGGCGGGCTTAGGTATCAAAAAATAGCTGAAATTTAGGGCTATTTTTTGATGCCAAAGATAACGGTGCGGAGTGTTGCGTAGTCTAGCTTTGAACGAGGTTTTTGGTCTATGCTATATGACACTGGTCTATGCTACAAGGTATCAAAAAATAGCTGAAATTCAGGGCTATTTTTTGATACCAAAGACGTATTTTTTGAAAATAAGGGCGCTTTGAAAAAAATGAAATACTAAAAAACTTTTGCGACTACGCGACTGTACGAGGGGTGTGGGGGTACTATTACAGTATTTACGGTAAGTATCCTCGAAAAAAGTAGTCACACCTTTCTAATCTTAATCTTGTTTTTTTCTCGAGTTTTTCAGAAGCCAAAAAAAAGCGCTGAAAAGGGGATAATGAAGCGCCAGGATCCATTTTACCCTATGCTTTGTGCTTCGAAAGAAATGTCGGTCAATGGATTTTTCTTTTCACTAATGTCCCAATAGGTTAAAGAATCAATAATCAATCAATTTTCTCGACACTGGTCTATGCTACAATGCGCGTTAAGATATCAAAAAATAGCCCTGAATTTCAGCTATTTTTTGATACCAAAGACGCATTTTTTGAAAGTACGAGTGCTTTGAGAAAAATGAAATACTAAAAAACTTTTTCGACTACGCGACTGTACGAGGGGGGTGAGGTACTATTCCAGTATTTACCTTGTGTTTATACCTAAAAAATTCTAATAGAAGATCATGATCTTTTTTATTTTCAATCCCCCAAAATTAGCCAATCAAAAAAGTAGGTAAAGAATACCCGTAGATGAGTCAAAAAAATTAAAAATACTTAAAAACTATTATAGTTTAAGATAGATAGTTCTAGTTAATAGTCTATATTATAGATAGTTCTTTATCTAAAACGTGTCAAAAGCGCATTTAAAAATGAAATTCTTCCATTCTTCCATTCTAAAAAGAGCTTTCAAAAAGTCCCGATTTCGGGGATCACGGCAGTGATCTTCTATTAGAATTTTTATGGTAAGTACAAGTCTTGTAACATTTATGCAATAAAGATTAATGTCAGAAAGCTGAAAACGAAAAAAATGAAGAAGAATAAACGATTGTGGGACATTTACCATCGGCAATCCAACTTTGAACTCAAATATCTTCTTATTTGGCTGTTCAATTGCAAGAGTTTTTATACAAATCGACAGAAAAAGACTTGGCGCATTAAATAATATCAAAAGTATGCGAATTGGACAACCCAAAGCCAAGAAATTTCAGCTCAAAGTTGGATAGCCATTGACAAAGGAGGCGGGCGACGGACCTTTTATACGCGCCCTACCCCTTTTACCATTGGCAATCCAGCTTTGAACTTAAATATCTCGGCTTTGGGTTACTCAATTGAAACAGTTTTTATACCAATAGATAGAGAAAGACTTGGGGAATCTAATGATATAAAGAATATTGAAATTTAACAACCCAATACCAAGATATTTGAGTTCAAAGTTAGGGAAAAGGGCAAGGCGTGTATGAAATGTACGATAACCGTTTCAGCATAGTTTCAGCTAAAAAATGAAAATGAATTGAATGAAATAGCTGAATATTTTATTGAAGAATAGGATTTGATATTATTTATTGAAATTTAAGCATTGATGCATGGTTGTGCGCTGTTTTTCGATCAAAATCCAACTGGAAGAATCCTCAACCGATTCTCAAAAGACATGGATGAAAGTGAGTGTAAAAAAAATCAAGATTTATGCTCAATGAAAAGTTTACAGTTGATGTGAAACTCCCGTTCTCAATCGAGGTGTTCTTGCAGAACATGTTCACATGTATCGGCTATCTTCTAGTAATCGCTTGGGTATTCCCACATTTTCTCTTCGCCGCTGTCCCACTCTTTGGAATCTTTCTACTGTTTGTCATGTGCTTTAGAGCTGGAATCCGAAGGTAGACAAGAAATTTGTTTATAAAACTATTTCATTCAGTTTAAAACGATCAGAGAACATCTCTCGATCACCATTATTCGATCATATCACAGCTTCAATTGAGGGGATATCTGTTATTCACAGTTATGGTCAAACAAATCGCTTTTTAGAGACATTGAAGCAAAGATTAGATGCAAATAGGTAAGAACTTAAAAAAGCTGATTGATTTTTTATGATAAAAAAAGCCAGCAAGCAAACTATTGAGTTGGTGAATTGAAAACTGTGGGCTATTGTCATATGTGACAGTTTGAGCACTTTCTTCAAAAGAAACCCATTTTGGTGTCAATGGAAAAGTTGTAGAGAATCAAAAATCAAGCTTATATTCAAATTTTCAGAACGATTCAAAAACTGGTTTTCAAGAAATGCCAAATTTACGAAACTTTCACAAAACTTGCATTTTAAGCGAAACTACTAAGTGTATCTTTTTGGAAATTTGGCTATAAGCCTAATTTTTGATTCTCTACAACTTTTCTATTGACACCAAAATGGGTTTCTTTTGAAGAAAGTACTCAAACTGGGACATTGGGACATCTCCAGTCCTCGATTTTTGAGTCTCACACTTGTCTCACACACTTGTACTGAGAGTTGCTGGATAGCAAGACGACCGTTAATGCAATCAAATACACTGGACAGTTGGGAAGTTCTGGATCATGAGTAATGAGCCTGAAGAAGAATAGGCCCTTCAAGTCAAAGATCGGTCTCATCCACGACAACGCGCGCCCTCATATTGCAAAACTGACTCGCTCTAAAATAAATAGCCTTGTTTGGGGAACTTTTGGCGCATTCCCCATACAGCCCGGACCTCTCCCCTTTTGATTACTATTTTTTCTGGAACATGAGCTTGCGGGAGAACACTTCGATTCGGAAGAAGCAGTCAAAAATTGGCTTTGAAAGTTTTTCGATTCAAAACCAAAATCCTACTACGAAAGAGGAATCCGCAAATTGCCTGTAAAATGGGCAGAAGTCGTCAATAATAATGGAAATTATTTGGAATGAATTGATGGTTTTATGTTGAATAAATTTTAGTTCAAAGTCCGGCAGTTTTCAGTTCACCAACCCAATACTTTCTCAGATTCTTTATCAACAGAACTCAATGTTTAGCGGTTCAATGTTCATGTTCCAATCAGCAATGAGATGGCTAGCTGTTTGGTTGGATCTTCTCGTTGTTGCAATCACTTTCGTTGTTGCTTTGTGCATTGTTTTACTTACCGGAAAAGTTTCTCCAGCAGACGCTGGAATGGCCATCACTTTTGCTATTCAAGTAAGTGAAGTTATTGAAAGCATTTCTGCAATTAATGCAAAAATTGGTCGTAATTCTAGACTGATTTCTTTGACTTTATTGACAAAAGATTTAGATGTCTGGTATATTCCAATTCGCTGTGAGAACTCAAACAGAGATGGAGGCTAAAATGACATCAGTTGAACGAGTTGTCTATTATGCTCAAAATATCACAAAAGAAGGTGAATGGAATACGCTGAAGTAAGTTGAAAAAGTACAATTGTACTTTAAAACTAGGAATAAAGTATTTATTTTACTTTAAAATCTATTTTAGAGGAACTGATGTTCCAAGTGGATGGCCATCAAAGGGACAAATTGATTTTGCTGATGTTAAGTGAGTTTGCAATGGATTTTTGTGAAGAATAGAAAAGCATTCTTTCTAGCAATTGATCTAGATAAGTAATTTTAAGATTTGACCTTTTTCTGACTTATTCTTTAGCTTTATCTTTAGACCTCTTTATCTTTAGCCTTCTTTAACTTTAGACTTCTTTATCTTTAGACTTCTTTACCTTAGACTTCGTTATCTTAGACTTCTTTATCTTTAGACTTCTTTATCCTTAGCCTTCTTTATCTTTAGACTTCTTTATCCTTAGCCTTCTTTATCTTTAGCCTTCTTTATCTTAGACCTCTTTATCTTAGACCTCTTTATCTTTAGACTTCTTTATCCTTGCCTTCTTTATCTTTAGACTTCTTTATCCTTAGCCTTCTTTATCTTTAGCCTTCTTTTCTTGACCTCTTTATCTTGACCTCTTATCTTTAGACTTCTTTTATCCTTAGCCTTCTTTATCTTTAGACTTCTTTATCTTAGACCTCTTTATCTTTAGACTTCTTTATCTTTAGCCTTCTTTATCTTTAGACTTCTTTATCCTTAGCCTTCTTTATCTTTAGACTTCTTTATCTTAGACCTCTTTATCTTTAGACTTCTTTATCCTTAGCCTTCTTTATCTTTAGACTTCTTTATCTTAGACCTCTTTATCTTTAGACTTCTTTATCCTTAGCCTTCTTTATCTTTAGACTTCTTTATCTTAGACCTCTTTATCTTTAGACTTCTTTATCTTTAGCCTTCTTTATCTTTAGACTTCTTTATCCTTAGCCTTCTTTATCTTAGACTTCTTTATCTTTATACGCTTTATCTTTAGACTTCGTTATCGTCCAAACATGGAAATGTCACTTAATGGAATCACTTTCACTATTAAAGCAAAGGAAAAGATTGGAATTATTGGAAGAACTGGATCAGGTTTTTAAACTTTAACTTCAATGAAATAGATTCTTAGGGAAATCTTCGCTTGCCAATGTCCTTTATCGGCTTTATCCAGTGAGTTGGGGTCAAATTTACATTGATGGAGTTGACATTACGACAATTGGATTGCACACGTTGAGGTAAAACTCAACAACAAATCTTTTTGCTCAAAATTTCTTAAAAGCTTTTCATTTTTCAGAAGATCTATGGCAATCATTCCACAAGATCCAGTCCTTTTCGCTGGTTCAATTCGATCAAACCTTGATCCAGCTGGAGTCTTCACTGATGAACAAATTTGGATCTCTCTTGAGAAAACTCATATGAAACGACAAGTACAACGACTTGAAAAGGGATTGGAATCTGAGGTTTCACTTTTACTTTGTCTTAGGCTTAGGCTTAGGCTTAGGCTTAGGAAGAGACAAGAAGATCAAATCAGATCGCATCGTTCTTTCAGTTTAATTGCTTGTTTAACCAGCAAAAACATAGAGATTTGATGAAATGAATAGCGTCAATCGATTCTCCGACCGCGTAACCCCTTGGGCACAAATTTACAGCTCAATAGCTCCTTTTTAATCTTTGAAAATAAATAGCTGACTGTTTTGAATGAGTAATCACACTTTAAAGATTTCATATCATTGTTTAGAAAGAATATAATTATTAACTTTTTATTTAGAAGATAATTCTAGCTTTTAAATGACAGAAAATAGAATCGAATTGAACCTACGACCTAAGAAATGAAGAGGCAACAAGATCAAATCAGATAGCATCGTTCTTTCAGTTTAATTGCTTGTTTAACCAGCAAAAACATATAGATTCGATGAAATGAATAGCGTCAATCGATTCTCCGACCGCGTAACCCCTCGGGCACAAATTTACAGCTCAATAGCTTCTTTTTATATTATCTATAAAGCCAAAAGAAATCTCTGTAAATGACTGACGAGATGTTCTTTGTGCGGTCTCGTAATCGCTCACGATCTGGCAAATCCCTCTAGTAGTCCTTCGGCTCCTTTCCGAATTCGTAAAACGGAAGGAGCGGTGAGCCGATTTTTCTATTTTCCGAGTCACTATGCCGGAATTCTTGGGATCAGCTCCGCGCTAAATTTTAAGACAAAACAGGAACAGTCAGGATATGTTTTTCATCGAATCTATATGTTTTTGCTGGTTAAACAAGCAATTAAACTGAAAGAACGCCATAAATTCAAGAAATGAATAAAATTGGAAACACTTTACCATTAATGAATTTTAGGTTATTTCCGGTGGAGAGAACTTCTCGGTCGGTGAGAGACAGCTGCTTTGCATGGCACGCGCCTTACTCATGTGAGTTTTTTTAAACAATTTACAATAGTCTATAGACAAAATCCACTAAATTATGACATTTTCGAGCCTTTCAATTCCAGGAAGTGCAGAATCGTTGTACTCGACGAGGCAACGGCTTCTCTTGACGCCAACATGGACAAATTGATTCACCAATGCTTACGGTACAATTTAGATTTATTAAAACTTTCAATAATATCTTTCAGTGATTGCTTAGCCGATTGTACAGTTCTCTTGATCGCTCACAAGTTAGAGAATATTGCTGACTGTGATCGAGTACTTTTGATGGATGATGGACGGGTTAGTCATTCAAATTGGGCAATAAAATATTCTTTAGATGATCGCTTTCGATGAGCCGAGCCTTTTACTGAAAAAAACTGGAGTCGAGTTGAAGAAAGTCGTTGAAGAAGTGAGTGAATGTGTATAAATATTTTATTTAGACGTACTCTGTTCTCAAAAACGGAAACGCATCCTTTCTAGCACACTAGTTTCCATTTTCCTTGATACATTTGATTAAAAGTTGCTAGAATTAAGAATTCTATCTTATCTTCCTTTCCAGTGCATTAGAAAGGATGCGTTTCCATTTCAGAAGTAGAGATAAGTCGATCATTGTTCTAGATCCAGAAATCTAGATTTAATCCACTTACTTCAGGATGCTCCACTTCCGGAAGAAACAATTCGACAAGCTCTTGACTCATCAATCATCATCATTGAAAATGATGGCACTCAATCGTTAGCCTCTGGTGATACAACAGCTACACCAAGAATAGGTAAATCCCAGAAAATTATCGAGTTTATCATTCTTTAGATCATGAAAAAGCGATTGAAATCGAAGACGTGTCAAATATCTCGGTGAAATCGTTGGAATTGGTAAAGACTCCATCAAGAGAATCACCAGTTATGATCGAGAAAGAACAATCATCACAATCAGATGATCCAGATGTGGAAATAGTTGAAGATGAGGATGAGAAAAGGGTGAGTAGACTACTTCTTACACAACTTTTGTTAAAAGATTTGTTAGATCTGTAGATTTGTTATAGAAATTGACACTAGTATTGCTGAAGCCTAGTAGCTAGCATAAGAATAGTTGTTCTCAAGGCCAAAGCAAAAGTCAAGTCTAGGTCTGGATGGGTTCAGTGACTTTTGTCTTGAGGTCTTGAGAAAAGTCAGGCCAGGGTTGCAGCCTAGATAAGCAGACCTGGACCCAGATCTGCCTAGATGACCTGAGCCAGAGCCTGAGCTTAAGCCTGGGTCTAAGCCTGGGTCTGAGCCTGAGCCTGAGCTGCACCTGCGCCTGCGCCTAAGCCTGAACCTAAGCCTGCGCCTGAGCCTGAGCCTAAGCCTGGGTCTAAGCCTGGGCCTAAGCTTAAGTCTGAGTCTAAACCTGAGCCTAAGTCTGCGCCTGAGCCTGCGCCTACGCCTACGCCTGAACCAGAAGACTTGCATCTATAATAGATCTAACTATAAGCCATTATAAAAATTAAAATAACAAAAAGTTATGCAGAAATTTCAGGTTGTCGCCTTAGATGATGAGAAGAAGAATTCACGAGAAGATTCACCCACATCATCGACAGAAGATCACGTAGTTGTGAGTGAGAAAGATCTCGAAGATGAAGGAGAGAAAGAAGAGAAAGAAGAGAAAGAAGAGACACGACTTCTTGAGAAGAAGAAAAAAGGGAAAAAGGGAAGAAAACATTGAGGAAGAGAAAGAAGAGAAATTATTTGATGATTTTTAAAATTTCTCTAATTTTCTTCGCTTTTAAGGTCATCAATTCGATTCATATGTTCATACGGGCTTATGAAACATTAAATGCTAATTATATGGATACTTTAAAGTTTAGATATTCTGCTAGAGTTTTTCTTTGACTTTAGCCTCGTTTAGCTTGTTTTAAGTGGTATTTTAATCAATCAAATGTTGTAAATTACTTTAAGGTACTTTAAAAAAAGTAAGCGAGTAAGAGTAAAAGAGGCCGCGATTAATACCCCTCCTTTAAGGTACTTTAAAAAAAGTAAGTAATTCTTTTAAAGCTTTGACTTTTTTATGATTTATGAATGATTTTTGACTTTTTATTATGTAAAGATCGTGTGATTCGTGTTTTTTTTTCGTTTTTTCGTTTTTTTGTGATCAAAATACGGAGATTTTTTTTGTGTTTAATTGTTTGAATAAAGAAAATTGAAATGAAAATGTTAAACAAATGATAAAAGATCACAATTTTACACATATAATATAATATAATTTAATATTTTTCGCGTTAAATTGATGGGTTTACAAATTTTTGGAGACATTGCAAGGCTTGGAGAAAAACAAGATCGTCACTCATCAGACACCTCAGCTAAAAGGCACCTATTTGAGAAAACTAAAACCACAAGCGACCACAAATTGAAAAAAGATCTAATTGTGTCAATCAAAGCGCTGAAGACGTCCTACGGTGGAGGAGATCCAGTCACTTCTGGTGAAGATGCGCTGGAAATTGATAAGATAGGAAGCCGTTTTGAGGAACTGCTGTACTTGAGCGAAGATGAAAGTGAGCAAGAGGAAGAATTATAGATTAACAATTTATTTTTATTGTTTTTTGTGCTTTTTATTTTGCTTTTAAATTTATCTGCAATTAAAACTCAATCGATCTAGACTGTGCTGAGGTGTCTGATGAGTGACGATCTTGTTTTTCTCCAAGCCTTGCAGTGTCTCCAAAAATTTGTAAACCCATCAAATCACTCTAGCCGGGTGATTTTTATTCTTTTTATAATAAAATCAGCGCTATTAAAATGAAAAAAACAGGTGGTTGCCGTAAAAAAATTTTTATCGTCACCCGGCCGCGATTAATACCCCTCCTTTAAGGTACTTTAAAAAGTTAAGTAATTCTTTTAAAGCTTTGATTTTTAATTTATGATTTATGAATGATTTTTGACTTTTTATTGTGTAAAGATCGTGTGATTCGTGTTTTTTTTTTCGTTTTTTTCGTGATCAAAATACGGAGATTTTATGTGTGTTTAATTGTTTGAATAAAGAAAATTGAAATGAAAATGTTAAACAGATGATAAAAGATCACAATTTTACACATATAACATAATATAACTAATATTTTTCGCGTTATATTGAGAAAATGAAACTTGATAAGCATTTAAACTTCAAAATATCCCAATAAATCAGTTAAAGATTCGATTTTTGTTTAGAAAAAGTTTAATTACAAAGTTTTAAATAAGAATTTGAAACTTAAGCTTTTGATTATTAATAAGAAGAAAGAACTCGAGAAAGGCAATCAAGAAAAGCACATAAAACGGCTAATTTTGATGGAACAACAGTAGACTTGCTTAACGAGAATTACCGAGACAAATCGGTCACGCAACTCCAGGCGCTTTCCATATCAAACATGAAAATATCCATGTTTTTTGGGTAATTTTGCCTCTTTGCTTACTTTAAGTAATCCTATTGATCGTTATTTTTGATCAAAATCGTAAAATTTCATAAATCCTATTGTTTAGACTTGCTTAACAAGGGCTGATCAAAAAATCGGATAGCACAACTTCAGGCGCTTCATCTTTTACTCTTTTACTCTTACTCGCTTACTTTTTTTAAAGTACTTAAAGTAATTTACAACATTTGGTTGATTAAAACACGACTTACAACAAGCCAAACTAGGCCAAAGTCAAGAAGAACTCTAGCAGAATATCTAAACTTTAAAATATCCATATAATTAGCTTGATCCAGCCTCCAGTCTATCGGATTCAAATGAGCTTTTTTTTAAGATTATTAATAAGAAGAAAGAACATTAGTTACTCGAGAAAGGCATATAAAACGGCTAATTTTGATGGAACAACAGTAGACTTGTTTAACGAGAATTATTAGGTTGGCAACTTAATAATGACGCGTTTATGTAACAAATCATTTATTTAAAAAAAACACAAAAGAAGAGCCTTCAATTCAAAAGGTATTCTCCATTAGTATCTATGACTTCTTCCCATCTTCTGCGCAAATCCCGGATCTCATCCTCGAAGAACTTGGGAGTTTTTGAGGTGAAGTAGTCATTCACTGCTTTTATGATCCGAGCATGATCATCGAACTTTTCTCCCTTCAAAAAGTGCTTCAGCGACCGAAACAAAAAGTAATCTGAAGGAGCCAGATCAGGTGAATAAGACGCGTGGGGCAAAACTTTCCAGCCAAGTTCCACGATTTTCTTATAAGTGATCTTTGCAGTGTGAGATTTTGGGTTCTCGCGTAAAAATCTGACTCTCTCCGGTTTGAGCCCCAATTTCTTCAAAGACTCGTTAACTCTCATTAATTGCTTCGAATAAAGATCAGCATCGACGATTTGGCCAGGTTTAGCACTTCATAATGCACCAATCCCTTGAAGTTCCACCAGCAACAGAGCATTATCTTCTTCCCATGGATATCAGGTTTGGGAGTGGTTTGAGGGGTCTGCCCAGCAGATAGCCATTGATTTTTGCGTTTAACGTTCTCATAGTTGATCCACGTTTCGTCAGAAGTGAAAAAAGTCGTTCGATTTACATTTTTGTAGCAAAATTGAGGCGACATTGACACGGGCCATTTTGTTGCTTTTGGGTCAATTCGTGAGGAACTCATTTTCCAACACGATTCTTTTTCCCAAGTGTGTAAATAGTTTTCGATTGTCGTATGGGATACTTAAAATATTCCTGCCAACTCACGAACGGTGAGTGTTGGGCAATCTTCAATTAAGGCGAGCAAGTCATCGTCGACCACTTCTGGAGGATGTCCTTGGTGTGGCTCGTCTACGAGGCTTCCATCGCCGCCTTGGAATCTTTGAAACCATCGTTGACATTGCCGAATGTGTATACTTTCCTCTCCAAAACAGTGATGATCGTGCGATAAGATTCAGCTGGAGATTTTCCTTGTTTAAAATCGTAGAACAATACAGCTCGAATACGGAATTTTTATCCTCCATTTTTTGCCAAAAAAGCGAATGGTGAAATTTGTAGCACTAAATGCTATTTATGCAGACATCTTTTACTTTGTATATATGCAAAAAGAGGGAAGAAACGGTGCTTGAAATTACAAAAAACATGTTAAGTAGTGACGCGTCATTATTAAGTTGCCAACCTAATAGCAAGACAAATCGGTCACGCAACTCCAGGCGCTTCATCTAGCCTCCAGTCTATCCGATTCAAATGTGCTTTTTTTGATTTAAAAGCCAAGATTTTAAGCGATCTAATGATACCCATCATTTAGATTTTTCTTTTGAAAAAATAGGTCAAAAAACCTTATCAAAAATTAGCAAGATAACGAGAAATTGTCTCGTCAAAACTCGATAAGGTTTTTAATTGACTTTTTCAAAAGAAAAATCTAAATGAGGGGTATCATTAGATAGCTTAAAATCTTGGCTTTTAACTCAAAAAAAGCACATTTGAATCCGATAGACTGGAGGCTAGATGAAGCGCCTGGAGTTGCGTGACCGATTTGTCTTGCTAATTCTCGTTAAGCAAGTCTACGGTTGTTCCATCAAAATTAGCCGTTTTATATGCCTTTCTTAATTGCCTTTCTCGAGTAACTAATGTTCTTTCTTCTTAGTAATAATCTTTAAAAAAAGCTCCTTTGAATCCGATAGACTGGAGGCTAGATGAAGCTAATTAAATGTATATTTTAAAGTTTAGATATTCTGATAGAGTTTTTCTTGACTTTGGCTTAGTTTGGCTTGTTGTAAGTCGTGTTTTAATCAATCAAATGTTGTAAATTACTTTAGGGTACTTTCAAAAAAGTAAGCGAGTAAGAGTAAAAGATGAAGCGCCTGGAGTTGCGTGATCCGATTTTTTGATCTGTCTAGTTAAGCAAGTCTAAACAATAGGATTTATGAAATTTTACGATTGTTATCAAAAATAACGATCAAAAAACTTTTCCAATCAAAAATAGGATTACTTAAAGTAAGCAAAGAGGCAAAATTACCCAAAAACATGGATATTTTCGTGTTAGATATGGAAAATTCTAGGCTTTGGATGATGATAAAAGATTTTCTAGAAGATTCGATTACTTTATTCAATAAAATTTACGTAGTTGCAAGTGAGAAAAAGCTGAATGATGGAAAATGTTGAGAAAAAGATTTGATGATTTTTCAGTACGTCATTGTTCCCCTTTCCAAATCTCACCATTTACCTCTTTCCATCGTTTTTAGCTCATCAGAAACAGTAAAATAACTTTGCCTTGAAAGTTTGACTTTTGAATTTACAATACTTAGATCTTTGGAATATAATTGTAGTAGTAGGGTTTGGAATAAGTTCCCGTTTGGTATCTTCTCGCCTGTAGGAAATGACGTCATTGTCATTTCCAAATCTCACCATTTACCTCTTTCCATCGTTTTTACCTCATCAGAAACAGTAAAATAACTTTGCCTTGAAAGTTTGACTTTTGAATTTACAATCCTTAGATCTTTGTAGATATATTTGTATTAGTAGGGTTTGGAATAAGCTCCCGTCTGGTATCTTCTCGTCTATAGGAAAATTCAAAGTATCTGTAAACGAATCAGATCTTATTGCTATGTCAAATCTGCCGTATCTTTTTGTGCCTGTGTTTCCTAACTGCAGTCTTACTGTACTACTTTTAGTTTTCTTTCTTTTTTTTGTGAAAGTATTGTAGCAATATTTTATATCCAGTTATGATTATCCGATTCGCTTCGATTCGCCCCTGAATAAAGCATATATACCGTATTTTCTCTAATAGTAGTGCAC